CCTGGCCACACCCCGGCTCCACGGGGTCCCCTCCTTACTGTAAATAAAATATTTATTGTGGACGGTTTGATGCCGTCGCTCCCTCCCCGCTTCGCTGGCCCCAGGCCCTGTTTTTTATAATTAAAGATAATAATAATTAATAATAATTAATAATAATGATGCTTTGTTACAGGTGTCACTTGATAGCCTTTAGAGAAGAATAAAGGATATATTTTTATCAGTCCTGCCCTGATTCGTGTCTGGGGGGGCTGAGGAAACGAGGGGACAAGCCGGGGGGGGAACAACAATGTCCCCCACACTGTGGGGTCTGCTGCCCATGTCCTTCTGTCTGTCCATCACCTCTCCATCCCCTCACTTCCCATTCCGTGTCCATCAGCCCCTCCAGCCTCTGTCTGTCCATCCTTCTCCTCCTTCCCTCCCCTCTCCACCATCCCCTCCCCACAGACCCCCTTCTTTCTCCCGCTGTGCCCTTCTCCAGCCCAGCCATCCCGGCGGGTCCCTGCGCAGGGCTGGGGCGCCCATCACCATGGCACCTGGGCCGCGGCATCTCCGGCGCTGGAATTCGCCAGGGCGGCGGGGCTGGTGCCGCCGAGGCCGGGCGTTGGGAGCGGCCCCGGGAGGTACAAGACGGCAGACAGGGAATGAGCATCGTCCATCACCGCTCCCGGCCGGGGCTGACGGCTCCCCTCGGCTCCGGGGGAGGAGGGGGACCGGGGAGGGCACTGGGGTTACCGGGGCGGGGGCCAGAGGGGTCGGGGATGGCCACTGGCCCCACACACAGCCCCACATCCACGTGTGGGGTCTGGCCACAGCCAGAGAAAGGCCGTGGCAAAGGTGGGGCACAGTTCTGTGGCTGGCAGGTGTCCTGCTGGCATGGGTATCCCCCTGGGATGGGCATCCCTTCAGGACAGGCTTCCCTCCGAGATGGGCATCCCACCAGGACAGGCCTCCCAGAAGAACGAACATCCCCTTGGGACAGCCATCCCACTGGAATGGGCATCCCACCGGGACAGGTACCCCCTTGGGATGAGCATCCCACTGGGGTGTGCATCACCCTGGGATGTGTTTCCCCCTGGGCTGAGCATCGCACAGGGGTGGAAATAGCCCCAGGATGGGCACTCTTGAGGAGGGCATCGCTCTGGGACAGGCATCCCACTGGGATGGGTTTCCCCCCAGGGTGGGTATCCCCTGGGACAGAGCACCCCTGGGGTTGGCACAGGGCCCACATGTCCCCCTCCCCTCCACCCCCCACCCTGTGACGTCACACCTTGGGGATCTCACAACCTGCGTGTCCGGGGGACCCCCAGCCCGGTGCCCACCTGCCCTGAGGTCCCCGCAGCCCGGGCTGCCCTCCGGAGCCGGGAACCTCGCGGGGCCCCCGGGGCTCCACCGCATCAAAGGCTGCGGGGATGACGCGGCCACCACCCGAAATATCCCGCGGAGCCGATAGTGGAAAAGTTGATGTTTAGACGCCGAGGAGGGGGGGGGAAAAACACCCCGGGGGCCCCCGCTGCCCGCGCCAAGGTCAAAACACAGCCCAGCGTGGGGAATAAAATACCGAAATGCGAGGAAAACGCCTGGAAAGGAACACAGCCCGAAATAACCCTCCGAGCATCTCCCGCCTGCCGGGTTATCTGCCTGCTAAATTCTGCTCCTGCTCCGGCATGAAAATAGCCTGTTTTCCTGCGGTAGGAGTCAGGAATATAGATAATGACATTCTTATAAGTCACCTCTGTTACTCAGCTTTTCCTGCGTGCCGGTGACCGCCGGGCACCTCGGGCAGCCACGACCCCCGGGCGGGCAGGAGCACCCCGGGCACAGGACACAGACCTCCCCAGCTTGGACAAATATTCCTGAGCGCTGGAAATAGCTGCTGTGGGCCAGCGCAGGGACAGGGACAGGGAGAGGGACAGGGACAGGGCAGTCCCGCCCTGTGCCAGCCCGTCACATCTGGGAAGCCGGGTGACAGCTGGATGGTGGCCACAAGCTGGGCCTGATGAGGGCTGGGACACCCCCTGGCAGGGATGGGGTGCAGGGGGGCTCTGCCTGGGGGCGTGGGACACAGGGACAGCACAATGCCCAGAGGGACAGAGCCATGCCCAGAGGTGCAGGACAGAGGGACAGGGCAGTGCCCAGGGGTGCAGGACAGAGGGACAGGGATGCTCCCAGAAGTGCAGGACAGAGAGATGGTGTCATTCCCAGAAACGCAGGGCAGGATGACACACAGAGGTGCAGGACAGAGGGACAGAGACATGCCCAGGGGTGCAGGACAGAGGGATGGTGTCATTTCCAGAAGCTCAGGACAAAAGGTCAGGACAGTGCCCAGAGTTGCAGGACAGACAGACAGAGCTGTGCCCTCCTGCACTGACTGTCTGGTGGCCCCATCCCACCTGCAGGACCGTCCCCATCCCATCCCGTCCCCACGGCCAGCAGCACAGCCCCGTCCCGGTTCCCCTCGCCTCCGGTCGGCGCGGACCCGCGTCCCGCCCGCTCCCGGCTTGTCCGGCCGCCCCCTCCCCTCCCATCCGCCGCATTCCTCCGGCGCGGGGCCAACGCGCCCAGCAACGGTGGCAGCGCTGGCCTCTAATCCCCGGGCATGCCAGCCCCGGGGGGACCGTCGCCGTCACCCACTCCCTGATAGGTGACCAATGCCCGAGACGAACAATTAGGGACAAAGCGGAGCCGCCGGGGGCTAACGCCGGCCTTCACGGGTGCCTTGTGCGGCATTCGGCGGGTTTAATGAATTGTCCATCAATCCTTTCAGCTCCGCTCGCCCGGGCTGGATTAATCTGAGAAGCCGCAGTGGGGAAGGAGCCGCTAAGCCTGTATTTATTACTCTGCCATTGTAACTAATTGAGGTAATTATCTGTGACTCCAACCCCGCGCAACAATGCCGCATTCACCGGACCCTTCCCACCGGCTCCTCGCGCGGCCTGGGAGAGCCGGCACCGCGGGTAGGACGCAGGGACGCGGTGGGGATGCTGGGATGGGGACAGGCAGCGTTGTGGCGTGGCTGGCACCTCGGCTGACCAGGTGACACCACGCTGTGGGGACGCGGACAGCGCCGAGGGCACCCGTGGGTCGTGGCATGGCCAGTGCCAGCTGCACACGTGGGTCACGGCTCTGCGGGGACACCAACAGCACTGGCACGTACACGGGCAGGGATCTCGGGACGCCACCGTCACCAGTGCCACGCGAGGGTCACGGCTCTCAGGCACCACCAGCATCCAGACACGCGTGGGTCACAGTTCCTCGGGAACACAGCCAGCACTGGCACATACATGACCACAGCTCTCTGGGGACACCGCCAGCACCGGTGACACACGCGGGTCACGACTGTCTGGGGATAGCAGTCCCCAGGTGACACCGCCAGCCCTGGTGACACATGAGGGTCACGGCTCTCTGGGGACACCAGTGTCACCGGTGACACACGGGGCTGTGGTGACTCTCAGGCGGCACGCATGGTTCGCGTTCCCTGGGGACACCGGCGACGGTCCCGGTGCCGGACCCGGTGCCCCCCGGTGCCCCCCGGGGCTGTGGGTCACCGGCTGCGCGGCGACATCTGGCGGCCGCGGGCGACACCGCGCCCCGGGCCGGTGCCACCGGTACCGGGGGGACCCCACGGGCCGAGCCCCCCGCGGGGACTCCGGGCTGCGGCGGGTCCGGGGGGAGGCGGGTGCCCGGGGGCCGGGGGCGGTGCTGGCGCCGGCGCAGCCCGAATTAGAAGGTGATTTTCCCGGCGGGGAGCGGGTTTGGGCAGGAGCTGATCCCACGGGAGGGGCCGCGCCGCTGCCCCCGCGTCTGGGACACCCCGCGCCACGCCGGGCAGGGTGCCGAGCCGTGACGTGCTGTGCCGAGCTGTGCCAGGCTGCACCAGCCCGTGCCAGGCTGCAGCTAGCTGTGCTGGGCTGTTAAGGGCTTTGCCAAGCTGTGCGGGGCCGTGTCGTGCCAAGCTGAGCCGTGCCTGGCTCCATCAGGTTGTGCCAAGATGTGCCAAGCAGAGCGGTGCTGTGCCGAGCAGCCTGGCCCGGGCTCTTCTGTGCTCTTCAGGGCTGTGCTGAGCTGTGCTGAGCTGTGCCAGGCTGCTGTGCCATGGGGAGCCATGCCAAGCCGTGCCAACCTGTGTCAGGCTACACCAGGCTGTGCCAAGATGTGCTGAGCTGTGCCAGGTCATACCAAGCCGTGCCGTGGCCGTGGCAGGTTGTGGCAGATGGAGCCGTGCCGTGACTCTGTGACAAGCCAAGTGGACCACACTGCACTGTGCCAGCCCTCCTGTGCCGTGCCAGCCCTCCTGTGCCGTGCCAGGCCACGCCGAGCCGTGCCAGGTGCCACTGCACCCCACAGCTGTGCCGTGCCGGGCTGAGGTCACCGTCGGGGCTCGGGTCAGGCCCAGGTGTGGGACGTGCCAGGCCGGGGGGACACACGGGGTGACGTGGCCATGGGGGTGCCCCCCCGGCCGGCTGGATCCCCCCGGCTGCGCCGGCTGCCCCGCGCCGTGACCTCCGGGCCGGTGTCACCGCGATAATGACAGGGTCGCGCAGGGGGGCGGGGGAGGAGCCGGTTTTAAATAACGTGCAAATTGGACACGATATTTGTGCGGTTTCCTGGGGCCGGGGGGATCCTCCCCCCCAGCAGTGTGACTAAGAGGTGGCGGCTGCTCGGGGGGGGGGGGACGGCACCCCCCGGTGAGTCACTCGGGGTCCCCCCCCGGCCGTGACGTGGGGCCAGTGGCCGAGGGCCAGACCTGCTGCACTCACCTACTCATTATGGGGGACACGGGGGGGGGTGTTGGCACGTCCCACCCGTGTTGTGACACGCTGAGGTGCCCAGCGGGATGCCCGGGGCCTCTGGCTGACCCCAGAACCGTGACGGGGGCGTTTGGACACCTGGGGCCTCGTGAGGGGGTCTCCAGAGACACCGGTCCTTGCTGGGGTGGGTGGGGGGTGCAGGGCCTTGAGGAGGGTCATGGGCCCCCCGCAACCACACACACACAGGGGCTGAGGCGCCACATGGGGACCCTTTATTGGGGTCAGCTCGCGGGAGCTCCAGCCCTGAGCCCCGCCCCCAGGACCACACCCTGCCAAGCCACACCTCCGATGGACACACCCAGCCAAACCCCGCCCTCGAGGTGCCACACCCTACCAAGCCCCGCCCCTCAGGCTCGGGTGGGGCTGGCGGGGCCAGGGGGGGCCCCGGTGCTCTCCAGGCTGCTGCTGCTGCTGCTGTAGGCACGAGGGTCTCGGCAGAGCCGCCGCCGGGACCCCCCCACGCTCCCCTCGGCCTCCGAGTCGGAGTCGGGCGCGGTGTGGCGGCGGATGCGGGACACGGCCTCCCGCAGGGCCTGGGCGTACAGCACCGGCCGCCGCGGGGGGGGCCGCCCACGGGGACCCCCACAGCCCCCCGGGCTCCGCCACGGACTGCGGGGGCTCCCTGAAGGCTCCCGGGGGGGCGAGGGCTCTGCCGGGGGGGTGAGAGCCCCGGGGGGCGCAGGAGGGCTGCGGGGAGGGCTGGTGGGCCCCGGGGACCCCCCAGCATAGCGGACCTGCTGGCGCTGCGGGGGGGGCACGTACTGCGCCCGGACCACCACGCGGGTGGCATCGATGAGGACGTGCCCCCGACCCCCGCCGCCCTCTCCATGCCCCAGCATCCGCTCCCGGCCGGCCGCCGCCCGCGGCAGCGTCTGGCAGTGCCGGGGGGTGCCGGCACTCCCCGGGGGCGGCTGCGTCCCGCGAGGCCGCCGGTGCTTGGCCTCGGTGGCCGCCCGGGGCAGCGTGTGGCTCCAGCCCCCTGGCAAAGCCCCCCGGGCCCGGGGTGCCACTGGGGGGCTGCGGGGTCCCCGGGGGGGCCGGAGCTGCAGGGTGCGGTGGGGAGCGTCGTAGGCAGGGGGGGAGATGTAGGGAGGCCCCCGGCGGGCATGGGCCGCCTGCACCCGCTGCATGTGCACCTCGTAGGTGGGGGCACAACCTGCCCGCCGGCACCGGGGGCCGGGGTGTGGGCGGTGGATTCCCCCCCCAGGGGCCGCTGCCCCCCGTCCCCTCGGGTTGTCGCCGGGGCAGGGGTGGGGGCACCCGGGGCCGGGGGCGAAGTCCTGCAGGCGTCGGGAGGGATTGGGGGCGCGGGGGCCAGGGGGGCCAGCTCGGCCACGGCGCTTCTCCAGGTACCTGCAAGACAGAGACGGGGGGTGAGGGGAGCGAGGGTGGGGGGCGCGGGCCGGACCCCCCACCCCTCCGTCCCCACTCACGCGTACTCCCCGGCGATGCGGCGGTAGGTCCAGGGGGGCTCCGGCCGGCACCCCGCGGCCATGCCGGCGGCCGAGCTGCAACACGCCACCGTGTCGATCTCCACCAGCACCAGCTTGGTCCGCTCGCAGATCCGCAGGCGCCCCGCGCCCCGCTCCGGACCCCCCAGCATGGCCCCGGTCGGGAGGGGGGTCCACACGCGGGGGGGCTCGGCGGAGCCTCGGCAGAGCCCCGCGCCCGCCCGCGCACGCCCACGGCCGCACGTGCGCCCCCGGGGACCCCCGTGTCCCACCCGGTGCCGCCGCGGGGCACGGAGCCCCCCGGGGGGCCGGCAGCCCTGCACACCGCGGGGACCCCACCGGCCGTCCCGGGGGTGTCTTGTCGCCGTGTATGTGTGTGTGTGTGTCCCCCCCCTCGGGATCCCTTCCCCCCCTGCGACAAGCAGGCGATGGCGGGTTTGGCACCGAGCGCTGCAGCCCACGCGGGCTCCGAGCGGAGCTTAGCAACCCTCCGGCGGCGGCATGGCAACCGGCACGGCCCTCCCCGGGCCCCCCCCAGAGCCCCCGGTACCTGCCCGGCGCTCACCTCGCTCCGCAGCCTCTGCCAGACCCCGGCACTGGCCAGGACGGGGTCCCCAGCCCGGCCTCTCCCCCCCGGCCAGGAATGTGCCACGCTCAGCACGGCTGGGCCTTGCGCCTCCCCCGTGGGCACCGGCAGCAAACCTCGGCCTCCTGCCTGCCCGAGACCCCCCCAGCCCCCCACAGGGACCCCGACATGCAGCCCCTCGCTCCGGCCTCCCCCAGCCTCTGCCCGACAACCCCCGCTCACCGCGGTGCCCACCGGAGGGTCCCCATGTCCCGCCAGGTCCCTGTCCCTGTCCCATCCCCAATCCTGGCCTTTTAGAAAAGCCACAGGCGGAACAAACAGGGATTTAGGGGCTGGGTGAGCTCAGCAGATTCCCCCTGGCTCGCAGGGGGGCCGTTGCCCCTCCCCGGGTACCCCCTCCCTCGCTGGTGCCCCCCGTGCCCCGCACCGAGCCGGGGTGGTGCCAGGTCTGTGTTTATTTGTGGGTTCTCTCCACACACAAAGCGGTGGTGGGTGCGGCCGAGGGACCTGGGGGGGCCCAGAGGGGACCCCTGGAGCTGTGTGGGGGAGTTCCCTGGGCCGGATAGAGCTGAGTGGGTTTCACCAAACCCACTGCGGGGGGGGGCCAGGGTGATGGGGAGGAGGGTCCGCACTGGGAACAGCCCTGGCATGGAGGTGGGGTGACCCCAAGGGGGTCGGGGGCTGCCCCCAGCACTTCGCACGGCCTTGGGGCGCAGGGGGGGCCACGGGCTCCCCCCACCCAGGGAAGGGCAGCGGGGGCTGCCCCAGGGCCGGGGGGTTATTGCTGGATGCTGCTGGTGAGTGGGGTCCCGCCCCGGGTGTCTCCGCCAGCCCGGGGGGGCACAGTGTGGCAGGAGAGCAGAGTGGGGGGCTCAAGGGGGGGAATTAATCCCACCCCCCCCACCGCCTCAGGGGCCCTGTGGGAGGACCAGGGCTTGCAGGATGTCTGAGAGGGAGACGATCCCTTTGACCACGTCGCTCTCATCCACCACCACCAGCCGGTGAACCTGGGGAGGGGGGACACAGGGAGGGGCTGAGGGGGAGCGGGGACCCCCCCAGGCCCCAGCCCGGCACCCCAGGCACGGTTACCTCGGCCTCCACCAGGCGGTTGATGATGGTTTCCAGCGTCTCGTGCTTGTAACACTTGAGGACGCCCTCGAAGTAGTGGGAGCGGTGCTGCAGCGCCCGCGTCACCGTCACGTCCAGGTTGTTGTAGGTCTTCTCAGCCGCCAGGTTCTGGGGCAGGGACAGGTGTTGGGGACACAGCTGGGACCTTGGGGACCGCCACCCCTGCCCAGCATCCCCCCTTCCCCACCCCAGCCCAGGCACTGCCCCTCCCAGTACTCACAATGACATCGAATTTGGAGTAGATGTCCACCACCCGCCCTGGGGAAGGAGGGGAGCGGCTCAGCGGCGCTGCCGGGCACTCCAGAGGGGACACAGCCCCCCCCGGAGGTGACCTGGGGACAGCCAGGGTTGGGACAGCCCGTCCTTACCCGAGTCATCCACCACGGGCAGCGCAGAGACGCGGTGCTGCACGAAGATGCCCAGGGCCACGTAGATGGGGGTGCCCGTGCCCACCACGGCGATGTTGCTGTAGGTGCCGATCTGCAGCTCCCCCAGCGTCCGCGCCATGAACTCGGGCTTGGGCACCTCTGCGATCTGCGGGGGCAGCGAGGGGGGCACAGGGCTCAGCACAGGGCTGAGAGGGTGCAAGCACAGAGCAGGGGATGTAGGACCCCCGGGCAGGGGCGGTGCAGAGGGTCTGTGCGGTGTCCTGGGGGTCCCCCAGCACCCACAGCGTGTGGGGAGGCAACGGAGCTGTGCCCACCCTGTGCCCAGAGCTGGTGGGACCCGGCACAGCCCGGGCTGGGGGTCCCAGGGTGGCCCCCACCATCACCGTGCGACAGGACTTACAAAGAGCTTGAGGAACTTGAGGATGCGTTTGTGGGTGAGGATGTAGAGGGTGTTCCCCGAGTCGGGGTCGATGACGGGCAGGCGGTGGATCTTGTTGCGGATCAGGGAGGACACGGCGTCGAAGAGGCTGCGGGAGGGAGCGGAGGGGGGGATTTGGGGGGTGCCCAGGGAGGCCCCCAAGCCGTGCCCCCACCCTGTCCCCCAGAGGGTACCTGGCATTGGGGGAGATGCAGACCAGGGGCTTGAAGGAGTCCTGCAGATAAACCTCTGCGGGGAGAGGGGGGCTGAGGGGGCTGACAGGGGTGGGGGTGGTGCCAGGGGCTCCGGGTGCACCAGGGAGGGCGGGGGGAGGCGGCCGGCAGAGACCCCCCCTCACCTCTCCACGTCTCTATTTTGTGCTCCTCCAGCTCGTAGATCTGCACCTGGGGGATGGGAAGAGGAGAAACCAGGATCATTTACAGCCACAGGTGGGGGTGGGCAGAGCCAGACCCCCCTTCACCCCCTCACAGACCCCCGGCGCTCACCATGGGCGACTTGTAGTAGCGGTGCAGGATGTTGATGAAGTCGGTGATGGTCAGCATTCCTGGGGGACAGGGAGGGTGAGGGGGGGTCCCTGCAGCCCCCCTGAGAGCCCCCTGTGCCCCCCCGGCTCACCCACGAAACTTTGCTTCTTGCTGTCCCAGAGCGGGGCCGCCCGGACGCCGTTGGTGACCAGGGCGAAGAACGCCTTCTTCACCTGGGGGCACGGCCGTCAGGGAGCCCCAGAAGTGCCCCCCACCCTGGCCCCAAAACCCCCCTCTCCCCCTGGCCCCAGCACACCTGCAGGGACGTGTCGAAGACGACCAGTTTGGAGCTGGTGGGGATCAGGTCGTAGCATCGGTGGGATTTCATGAAGGCCGTGTAGGCACCACGGTGGGCGTCCCCTGGGGGGGGGCAGCGTCAGGGGGAACCCCAAACCCTGGGCCACCCCAAATCCTGGGGATACCCTAAATCCTGACCCCGAGATACCCCAAATCCGGGGGCACCCCAAATCCAAACCTCAGACACCCCCAACCTCAGGACCCTCCCACCCCCGGTCCCCCAAACCCCAGGAAATGGAAATCCCCCCTGGATTCTTCATACTTTGGGGACACCCAAACCCACGTGGCACCTCCCCTGCCGGACCCTCCCCGCCCGCCGGGAGCCCCCCAGACCCGCCTGGAATCACCTTCCAGCCCCGGGGGGCTCAGCTCCGCCGGGCTCTCGGCGGCCGGGCCGGGGCCGGGGGCGGGATCCTGGGGACAGACACGGAGCGGGTCAGGCCGGGCCGCGGCCCTCAGTGCCGGTTGCCCCGCGTCCCTCCCCGTGTCCCCCTCCCGGTCCCCGCTGTCCCCTCCCAACCTCCATGGCCCCCGCTCCGTCCCGCGGCGCCGCTGCCCCCCTTTCCGCCCGGCTTCGTGCCCTTCTTCCGCCCGGCTTCTTGCCCTTCTTCCGCCCGGCTTTCATGCCCTTCTTCCGCCCGGCTTCTTGCCCTTCTTCCGCCTGCCCCGAACAGCCAGTTTGGGATCTTCGTCCCTGTTCAATTTTGGGACTGGGAATTTCCCCTCCCGCCGGGACACGGACACGTGTGGGGGTCCCCCGGGGGGCTTGAGGACATGGTGGGACACACGTGGGAATCCTCCATGGGAGGGGGTCCCCAGGGGGGCAGGGACACCTCAAGGTCCCCCGGGGAGGGGGTGTCACTGACTGGGGGCCCCGTGGCCGTGGGGGGGACACATGGTGAGGACCCCGATGTGGGGCAGGGACCACCCTGAGACAGCAGGGCAGGGGGACACGGGGGGGATGAGGGGGACACACAGACAGGACTCACCTGTCCCCGCTGTCAGGGCTGTCCCCCGGCTGTGTCCCCCCCCCACCTACAGCCCCTCCCCAACCCCCGGGAGGAACGAGGCGGCCTCGGCTTCTCACGCGCTTTATTTAAAATAACATCCAGTGGTTCCGGTATTGGTAAAAACGGGATTTTCTACACGCCCCGGCCTATGTACAGCTCTGAAAGTTAAATTTCTCGTATATTTTTCTGTTAAAACTTTCTCATCCCCCCCCCACTCGCGCTTTTTTTTTTTTTTTTTTTGTCTGGGTTTATTTTTGTGGGTTTTGTTTTGTTGGTTTTTTTTTTCTTTTTTAATAATTTTTTTTTTTTTTTTTAAACATTTTTACCTTAAATCTTTTTTTTTTTCCTTTTTTTTTTTTTTTTTTGTATTTTTTCTTTTTTTTTGCAGCTTTGATGAGTTGCGGAAGCAGCTTTTTTAAAGATCAGCCCCGGCCCACTCCTGCGCCGGGGGTGGGGGAGAAGTGGGGAGGGGCACCACCCCGTCAGCCCCTCCCTGCACCCCGAGGAGGGTCAGACCCCCCCTCCTCCCTCAGGAGCGGGAGGGTCCCCCCCACCCCGCGCCGTGTTTGTGCGTTAAGAGATCCCGGCGCCCCCCGGGGTCCTCCCCGGGTCGGGGGCAGGTGGGGACCCTGGGGGCCGCAGCCGGCGCAGGGGGGGGCCGGGGGTGTAATGCCCTCTTGCTGCTTCGCTCTCCGAGGCCGCCCCTGCCTGGCAGGAGGTTCCAGACCGACCCCCTCCCCACACACACGCACGCACTCCTCGGAGAATTGGGTTTAAAAAAACCCCCCCCTTTTGCCCCTGCACCCCAAATCTCAGCCCAGCAGAGCACAAAGAGCCCCCCGTCTAGTATATACAATATAAGGTATAAATAGATAAATAACCTTCCACCCCTGTGCCCACGGCGCCCACGTGCAGCTCCGGCCGTGAGGGGGCTCTGGGCGAGCAGGGGGGGCTCCCGCCCCGCCCCTCCTGCCCCCCCAGCCACGAGGGCCACGTGCGAGAAGGGGGGGCCCTCACCCAGCCCCTCAGACCCCACCCCAGAGCTGGGGGAGCCCCCCCATCCCCACCTCACACCTTGGCACCTCCACGGCTGGGACCTCCCAGGGAAGGGGGAAGGCAACGAGGAGGGGGTGTCCCCGTGCCCCCCCCTCCAAGGGGTCCCGGCGAGGGGCCTCCTGCAGCCACATCTGAGGAGGAGGATGGGGAGAGCCCGAGGGAGAGAGGGAAAGACCCCCCCGGGGCAGGGGGGGCCGGGTTGGGGTGGTCGTGGTGGGAAGCGGAGAGGGGGGGAAGAAGGGGAAGAGGGAGGGGCTCACATTTAAAAACAACAACAAATAAAAGAAACAAATCTAACACTTAAAATGAGGTAGGTTTGGGTGCAGAAGCTCCTTGTGTCTGTCGGGGTCTTGGCCTCATCCCGCCGCCGCTCCGGGGTCTCGTCCACACGCACAAACAAAAAGAGATCAAAAGGAACCGAGCGAGCTCTGGCCGCCCTGGCAGGGGCAGGGCAGAGCCCGGATTGTCGAGCTCAAGGAGTCTGTGTTACCTTGGTAATTAGCGAGCAAATATTATTAGTTTCTAAAAAAAAAAAACAAAACAAAAACAAAAAACCAAAACAAAAAAACAAAAACAAAAAAAGAAAACAAAACAAAATAAAATAAAATAGAATAAAATAATCGTTATATCCGGGCCGGCTCCGCGCGCTGGGCCCGGCGCTGCTCCCCCGTGGCTCCCCCACGAGGGAGGCTGGCGGGGGGGAGGTGCTGAAGGGGGGGTTTCCGAGCCCCCCACTCCATTTGCTTGTTTGTTTGTTTGTTTTTTTCCTCGCAGGACGAAGCAAAGAAAACCCTGAGTTGCCAGTTCGTCCGTCCGTCTGTCCCGCCCGGGCAGGGCCGGCGGCGCCGCGGCCGCTCCTCCCTCCATGCCCGGCCGCCCCTGGCACCTCCCGTGGCCCCAGGGAGGGGCTCGGCGAGGTCTCCCAGGCGGGGATGGCGGCCCCCAGTCCCGTTTTTCCCAGCTAGTTCATCCACTTCCTGCAATTCCAGGCTCCACAGTGGCAGGGGATCTTGTGCTGATCGTCCTCGAAGTCGAACTGGTAGTCGTAGGTGAGCTGAAAGGGGATAGTGGGGAGTCACCTATGGCTCAGAGCTCAGTCCTGCCACCTCCAGCCCCTCTTCCTGGCCCCCTCTGCCGACCCCCAGCCTCTCTCAGCCCCCCACTGACCTCCTCCCCCTTGGGGATGCGCCGGCTGGAGATGATGATGATCTTGTCCTCCTTGTCGAAGGTCACGACTTCGGCCACACAGTTCGGGGCACACGAGTGGTTGATGTACCTGGAGAAGGTGGAAGGTTAGAACTGACCCAGGGGCAGGACAAATGGACAACACAACTCCCTCCGGGGCGGGGGTCCCACCACCCCGAAGCCCCCCCGTGCTCACCTGGCCGGGCCCCCCGTCAGTGTGGCGTCAATGACGTGCTCGTTGTTGATGCGGAACATGTAGATGCCACGGTTCTGCCGTGGGGGACAAGAGGGTGTCAGGGGGTGCACCGAGGTCCCCACATCCCACCTGAGCCCCTCCACATCCCACCTGAGCCCTCAACATCCCACCCAGGTCCCCCTACATCCCCACCAGAGCCTTCAATGTGCCCCCCCCCAAGTGCCCCCCACGTCCCACCAGAGCCCCACCTGCTCCTCATAGATCTTCTCCCGCCGGTTGGCCACCTCGTTGCGGATGATGGTGCCGATGTACTCGATGACCATCGTGTGCTTCTCGATGTCCTTGGCCGCGTAGAGCCCCAGCCCCTGGATGCGGGACCGTGCCAGGTACACGTTGTTCTTCCACTCCGTCTTCAGGCGCCGGTACTGGGAGGACTTGGAGTGCACGAACTGTTTGCTGTAGGGCGTGTTGGTCTCGCCCGTGAACGTGCTCTGGTAGGCCTTGGACATGCTTGTGCTGTTCAGGGTGTGGGGCCTGCCAATGGGGGGTGGGATGAGAGGGGTCAGAGCAGAGGGATCCCCAAGGATCCTGGCTCTGCTGGGGGATCCCGGCTCTGCTGGGGGATCCCAACTCTGTTAGGGGGTCCTGGCTCTGCTGGTGGATCCCAGCTCTGTTAGGAGATCCTGGTTCTCCTGGTGGATCCCAGCCCTGCTTACCTCTTGTAATGGGTGAGGATCTTGGGCTCGGAGCGGGCGCAGCCGGTGGGGTTGATCATCAGCGGCAGCTCCATCAGGGGATGGCGCCCGTAGCGGAACAGGTAGTTCTGGCAGCTCTCGACACCCGGCAGCTGACGAGGGCACACAGAGGGGCAGGGGCTTGAGTGGCAGCACCAGGGCAGCCACCAGACCCTTCCCCAGCAGGGCTGACCCCCAGACCCCCGTCCTCCCCCAGACCTACCGACTCGGCGATGCGCAGCACCGCGTGCACCGTGAGGCCGAAGAGCTCCTCGCCCTTCAGGTACTCGGGGAAGAGCCGCAGCATGTCAGCCTCCTTCCTCATCATCGCCACCGGCTCGATGATCCGGTTCCAGACGGCTGCCGAGGGAAGGGAGAACCACAGAATGCCAGCATTAATTGGGTTGGAAAAGACCTCCGAGGTCACTGAGCCCAACCTTTGACCAATCACCACCTCATCAACTCGACTAGAACACTGAGTGCCAGGGGTTGGAGATGGGGACCCACTGGGGACCCCCCCAGCTCGAGTCACCTCCCATCACCCCATCCTCTGCTGCATTCTGGTGTGGCTCAGCCACTGGGACAGGCACCAGATACCACCAGCATTAGTCCAGCACCGGCACCTCCCAACTCCTCACCCTGTGGCGAGGAGTCGGAGAAGACGAGATCCTCCAGGCCCTGCTCGATGACCTGCACGACGAACTCGGGGCGCCCGTTGTTCTCGCAGATGGTGCAGCGGTAGCAGCAGCGGCGGTTGTTGGTCCGCAGGCTCCAGTAGATGCGCGTGGCCTCGTAGCCCACAGGGTAGAGCGCGGTGACGCTGTGGAAATCGGCCATCTGGTGGGGCAGCAGCTGCCCGATGGCGTGGAAGACCAGCCCGCCCACGCGGAACATGTGGAGCCGCTCCCCGCGCTGGATGATGCTGGCGATCTGCTTCACCTCGTCCCGCTCGATGTACACGCGGCGGAACACGGTGAAGCTGCTGAGCTCCTGCTCGCAGGGCCCCTTCAGCTTGTGCAGGGGGCACAGCATGGTCTTGTCCTTGAAGAACATGCACTTGGCGCGGATGGCGCAGGCGAAGTGGTACACGCTGGGGCAGCGGATGCGGTTGCAGCTGTTGGTGGCGCCGGTTTTCTGGCACAGGGAGCACTTGGTGAGCAGCCCGCGGTGCAGGGCCACCTCCACGTTGATCAGGGCCCCGCCCTGCGTCTCGTACACCTCCGTGGACCACAGGGCGCAGTTCAGGTGGACCCAGAGGTCGAGGTCGAGGTTGAGCAGGCGGGCCGGCCCGTCCGTGGCCCCGTCGCCCTCCTCGTGGCAGAAGCAGCACTTGCGCAGGTCCCGCGGCACCTTCTCGGGGCGCAGGGTGGTGCCCAGCTTGTCGATGAACTCGGCGATCTCCTTGTCGCCGTCGCGCTTGGCCCCCCCTTTCTGGATGGTGACGAGGAAGCGCAGCCGTTTCCAGCGCACCCCCTTCCACTTCTTCAGCCGCGGCCGCGCCTCGTCCCCGTCCTCGGGCGGCCGCGAGCGCGGCTTGAAACGGGGCGGCGAGTGGGGGGCTGCGGCCCCTTCCTCCTGGGGGGCCGGGGAGGGGGCCGGCAGCAGCGGCGACGGCAGGGCCGGGGCAGCCTCATGGGCCACCTCGGGGTCGGGGACCCTGGTGGGCTCAGCGGGGCTGGACGGGGAGGGGACGGAGGGGGACAGCGGGGGCGAGGGCTCCTGGGGCATGACGGAGAGCTGCCGCACATCCAGGTTGGACACGTTGTTGACGTAGCAGTGGTGAAGGGTCTTCTCGGGCGCGGGGCTCTCCTGTGGAACGGGGAGGGGGTCACGGGTCAGAGGGTCGCAGGAAGGGGTCCTTGGACCTGCAGGGACCCCAGAGCACCCCACATGCTCCCAACCCTGCAAGGACCACCTCCACCCCTTCCTGGAAGACTCAGCACCTCTCCATGGGGAGACCCAGCCCCCCAGGAAACCCCCTGCGATCACGGGGGGACCTACAGGGAGCACCATACACTTCTACATGGTCACACCTGGTTCCAAAGAGTTCCCCCCCATTCCTCCATCCCAACATAGTCATGGCCCCACAGGTACCCCTCAGTGTCCCAGCGGACCCCCACAGCCACTGACCTGTCTGAGCAGTGTCAGGAGGTCCAGCTCGCCCTTGAGGCTGTAGCCGGGCAGCACCGCGTCGAACTGCTTCAGCCACTCGGAGCTGCTGTCCGGCACCTTCCCAGCCAGCGCCTTCTCCTTCCCTCCGAGTATCCCTGGAAGAGGGAGGCACGGCCCATCACGGGTGGGTCCCAGCCTGGGGCTGCGGGGAGCCCTTGAGGACAAGGAGGACACTCACCAGCCATATCGGCCTCCACCTTCTTGGCCTCGACCACGGCTGCTCGCACGGGGCCGTCGGGGAACAGCACCTCGTAGGAGCTGGGGATCTTCACGCTCAGCAGCTCAGCCATGGCCACCATCACCCCGTTGAGGTTCTGGGATAGAGGGGGATGGGATGGGTCCAGGGTGCCCCAGATGCCACCATGTGAGGTCACCGCTGGGACCCCGGAGGGTCTCACATCCCCCCATCCCCTCGCTCACCTTGGCGGCCGCTGCAGACACTGTCAGCATGACAGAAACCTCGCTGCTCTTGCCCTTCTCCCACGGGGCTCCTGGGCCTGCTGCCCCCACCTTCCCTGGGGGGGCCCCAAAGGGCTCCACGGCCTCGTAGGGTTTCGTGTCAGGGAACACTGGTGTGGGGACAGGCAGGGGTCAGAGCTGCACAGACCCAGACCCACCAAAGCCACCTGTGAGCCCACCCAGCTGCCCCAGACCCCTGCAAGAACACTGCAGGAGATCCATCACCCCCCAGACCCATTTCCCACACAGCCCAAGGACCCTTCCCCTGCTCCCCAAAGTCCCAGAAATCCCCTCCTGCCCCACCCATATCCCTTCCTACCCAACACATGTTCTCCAGACCCCTTCCCTGCACTGTACCTCCCACTGAACCCCTCCTGCTCGGTCCATATGGACCACAGAGCACTCCTGCCCTGGTCCATGCACCCTCCCCAGCCCATCCCACCTGGGATACTGGCCCGGGGGATGATGGGGATGATGGGGGACAGCACACGCTCCTCCAGCTCTGGCTTGGCCTCGCTGAGCAGCGGGAACCGGAGCAGCTCCTCGCCCAGGACGCTCTCGGGGGACGAGGCAGGGACGATGCTGTCGGGGGAGTCGCTCTCGTCGTCGCTCTCCATCCTGAAGGGAAGGAGGTGTCAGGGGCCACAGGGGCTGGTGTCACCCCCAGGGGGCTGGTGTCACTCATGGGAGGTCACCATGGCCAGGGTCTCACCTGACGTCCTCGGTCTGGTTGTGGGGAGGGGTGGGCAGAGCTGCCAGCAGGTCCAGGCTCTTCACCTCCATGGCCGGTGTGTCTGCACGGAAGGGACGGGTGTCACAGGGGGGTGACAGGTGGTGGCAGGGACTCTGTGCCACCCCTGGGCCGGCCAGGCTTACCTTTCTGGCCGTGGGGCTCCCGGGCTGGGTCAGTGTCCTTGGGCTGCTCACCCAGTTCCTCGGGGGCTGTGACACCGTTCACCATCTTCTGCTGCACGGAGGGAGGGGGCGTGGGGGGCAGCGAGGAGGGTGGCGTGGGCGGGTTGCTGAGGTTGTTCTGCGGGGAGACAGCAGGGTGAGCACGGTGGGGTGGTCCAGGACCCCCGGATTGAGGGGACAACAGGTGAAGAACCCCTTCCCTCACCTTGGTGAGCAGCTGGGAGTAGTAGTCGGGGACGCTGTCGAGCACAGCGCTGCCGAAGGCGCCCCGCAGTTGGCTCTTGCCGTTGATGGGGCTGCTGCCGAAGGGCGCGAAGAGGCTGAAGTTGGCTGTGATGGTCGGCTCTGTCAGCGGCAGCAGCGACAGCTCCTGGGGGCAGAGTGGTGAGGGGGGCACAGGGGCAGAAAGGCAGCCCCCACCATCCCCCAGCCCGCGGCCGTACCTGTTTCAGCTGTCTCATGAGGGCCTCGCCGGGACGCAGCCCCTCGTCCTTCCGCAGCTTCTTGCGGGACGCCGGGATCCGCTCGTTGCCTTTCTGCACCCGCTTGGGCTTGGTGGGCGCCGGCTTCCTGGCGATGGAGGGGTCCTGGGGAGGGAGAGGGGTGGGTGTATGAGCCGTGCAGGCACAGCCCCATGCCTATCACCCCCAACCTGGCCCGCCCCACTCACCTCCCGGCCCAGCAGCAGCGGCTGTGGCCGTGGCTCCGTCCCGGCACTCCGGCTCTCCGTGTGCCCGTTGAGCTCGCCCGGGCTCTGTGCTGAGAGCTGCACGTTCTTGGCCCGCAGCAGCTTCTGCAGCAGCAGGTGCCCAGCCTCGGAGCGCCCGCCCGGGGCCAGCAGGTTGTTGGCTTGGCTGGCCCCAGGGTCCCCGTTGGCCTCCGGTTTTGCCGTCTCATCTCCGTCCAGCTCACACTGTGGCGCTGCCGCCGCCTCCTCCTTCGGCTCCTGCTTCACCAACACCTGGGAGCCTTCGCCTGCCGCGGGGGCCCCCTCCGGCACTGCCCCATTGATGTGGATCTCGCTGGGGTCGGCTGGGTCCACCCCGGGTGCCTCGGGGTCCCAGGGGCCATGTGCTGGGTCGGGGAGGGCAGCGCTCGGCGTGGGCGTCAGGCCCTAGCTCTGTGGGCACCGCGGGGCTGGGGGTCGAGGCCGGGACCCCCGGTGACGTCTTCTTTGGCTCTTGGGGGCTCTGCTCGGGGCTGACCAGGTGCTGGGGGGCACAGCCCAGGGGCGAGGGGGCTGGTGGAGTGGGGAGGCGGACAAGGCCGGGCTGGGGGCCACGGGCAGCCAGGGCTGCCTGCACCAGCTCTGCCAGGGGCTGCTGGGGGGGCTGCCCTGGCAGTGCCCGCCCCGGCTCCGCGGCAAAGCCGGTCTGTGCCTCTGCTGGGGTGCCCGGCCGGGGCTGGAAGAGGGACCCCATGGGGCGAGGGGGCTGGCGGGCAGCTGGCGAGCCGTAGTCCGGGGCCTGCCCGGGGAAGGGGCCGGGGGTCCGGAGCGCCTGGCTCTGCTGCAGGAGGCTCTGCTGGTGCCGCTGCACCAGGAGGGCCTGGAGCTGCTGCTGCTGCTGCGGCGTCAGGTGCCGCAGCTGCGGGTTCTTGGCCAGGACACCCTGGAGCTGCGCCCGGATCTGGCCCATCACTGGCCCCGGCACCTGCCCCAGGAGCCCCGGGGGGAGCGTGGCTGTGCCCGGTGCCGGCCCTGTTTTGTGCTGCCCGGGGCTCTGGAGCCGTGGGGGCTGCTGGGGCTGCCCCTGCAGGGCCCCTGCCGCCCCCTTGCCCGGTTGCTCCGGGGGCCGTGGTGCTGGCACCATGCCCTGTGCCGGGCCCGTCCCGCAGCCCAGTGGCGGCTCCGCCACCCCAGCCGTGTCCCCGTGCTGCTGGGACAGCTCGGGGTGGGCGGCCCCGGGGCTCTGCAGTGGCGGGGCGAGCAGGGTACCCTGTTGCCCAGGGGCTGCCCGCAGCATTCCCGGCTGTGGGGAGGTCAAGAGGAGCTGCTGGCCCTGACCCAGCTCAGCCTGGTGCTTGGGGGCCACAGCCTCTGGGCCCCCCAGCCCTTGGGGGTTGAGGGGTCCCTGCTGCTCCCCGTGCAGCTGCCCCCCGCTCTCGCCGCCCTCGGCGGGCAGGGCGCTGCCATCCACCCCCGTGGGCTGGTCCTTGGCAGCCAGGACCGCCGGGGCCGGCTGCATTCCCTGACTCAGGTGCAGCACAGAGGGGGCCTGGCCCCCCGCCCCGTGCTGCGGAAAGTGCTGGATCGAGGGCTGCCCCTGGCCCAGCCCCAGGAGGCCTGGCTGGGTGGCCGCTGAGTTCTGCTGCTGCTGCTGCTGCTGCGGGGTCAGCAGTGCCCGCGACTGTCCCAGCTGCTGGGACAGCACGAGCCGGTGGCTCAGCATCCCCGGAGTCTGCGGTGCCAGCTGGGGCGAGCCCAGCACCCGCTGCTGGTGGGGGGCCAGGAGCACCTGGCGCTGGGGCGGGGGGTGGCCCAGCACGGGCTGGTGCTGCAGCCCCGGTGCTGGCGTGTGGCCCAGCACGCCCGGCTGCTGCTGGGGTGAGAGCTGCTGCACCAGCAGGCTCTGCTGGCTGCCCAGCAGCCCCCCCGCCTTCGGCAGCATGGGCTGAGCCCCGCGCCGGGCTGGGGGGTCGGGGGCTGCTGCTGCTGCCCCAGCAGGCCGGGCTGCCCCGCCATGGCCGTCGGCTGCATCGGGGCCTGGCCCAGCACCCCCGGCTGCTGCATGGACGCCTGGCCCATCATGCCTGGCTGCTGCATCGACGTCTGCGCCATCACACCTGCCTGTTGCATTGAAGCTTGTCCCATAACGCCTGGCTGCTGCATGGACGTCTGGGCCATGATGCTCTGGGGCTGCATCGAGCTCTGTCCCATCACACCAGGCTGCTGCATGGACGCCTGACCCATCATGCCCTGTTGCTGCATCGCCGTCTGTGCCATCACACCTGGCTGCTGCATGGCTGCCTGGGCCATCACACCCTGTTGCTGCATGGATGCCTGTCCCATCACACCGGGCTGTTGCAGCGATGCTTGTCCCATCACACCAGGCTGCTGCATGGAAGCTTGGCCCATCACGCTCTGTTGCTGCATCGACGCTTGTGCCATGACACCTGATTGCTGCAGTGACGTCTGTCCCATCACACCTGATTGCTGCATTGATGCCTGTCCCATCACACCTGATTGCTGCATGGACGCCTGTCCCATCACTCCTGGCTGCTGCATGGAGGTCTGTCCCATCACACCCTGTTGCTGCATGGACGCCTGTCCCATCACCCCTGGCTGCTGCAGCGACACCTGTCCCATCACACCCGGTTGCTGCATGGAGCTCTGTCCCATCATGCCCGGCTGCTGCTGCTGCTGCTGCGGCAGTGACACCTGTCCCAGCATGTTCTGCTGCTGCAGCTTCTGCGCCAGCTGCATCCTCTGGAGCTGCCGCTCCTGCATCAGGCGGCTGTCGGCGGCCAGCCCGCGCAGTGCGGGGTTCCCGGTGAAGAAGGCGCTGGAGGAGCCGGGTCCCGGGGTGTTCCCCATGGCCTGCTGCCCCATGAAGGACAGGCCCTGCTGCACGGCCATGGACACGCCGCCCTGCGACAGGCGCAGCCCCCCGGCTGCCCCGGCTGCTGCCCCAGGCCCTGCGCTCCCACCACGGCCCCCCCGGGCTGCTGCACCCCGTGTGCCGAGAGGAGCTGCCCCGGGAGCTTGGACATGAGGCGGGGGCTCTGCGAGGGGCTCAGGGCCATCACGGCCGAGGCCTGGTGCTGGTGCTGCTGCTGCTTGTTGCGGTACTCGGCCATGAGGTTGGTGTGTTCCTTCTGCTGCTTCCGCACCTGCCGGGGACAGCGGGGCATCAGTGCCGGGAACGGCGGGGCATTAGTGCCCAGGATAGCAGGGAGTTAGTGCCAGGAATGGCATGGCACCTGTGGCCAGGAATTGCACGTTTGGACTGGGGATGGCACAGGGTGCCAGGGATATCGTATTTGCATCAGACAAGGCTCCCAGCCACATGCAGGGTTCTACCTGGTCCAGCTGCTTCTGGATCTTGCTCTGCTGCTCCGTCACCAGCTTCAGCTTCTCGGCATCGGCCTCGGGGAACTCCCTGCCGGCCTTCTTGGCTGTGCGCTGCTTGGCACAGAGCGCCTTGCGGGACTTGCGGTGAGCCCCGATCTGCTCCTCCAGCACCTTCAGCTGCATCTGCAGCAGCTGCTGCGTGTGGAACAGCCACTCCTCGTACTGCCGCTGGTCGGCCTCGTCTGTGGGATGGGGAGAGGGCTCATCAGCAGGGATCCCAGGTCAGCAGGGACCCAGCTCTCAGGGGCAGGGTGAGCCCACCACTCCAACCCCCCTGTACTCACTGATGACACCCTGTGCAAAGGTGGGTGGGTTGGGGCGAGCCTGGGTTGGGTCTGTGCCGCTTCGCTCCTGCCAGAGAGAGGAGTGTTGGGGACATGTGCCTCCCTGTTCCCTCCCCACAGCCCTCACCTCCCCAGGGAGACAGAAACCCACCGGCCAGAGCGGCTCCAGCCTGGCAGGGTCCTGATCACCAAGCCAGACAGACCTAAGGGGCCCCTGTATTCCCCCACCTCAGACACCCCACTCACCTGCCCGCTCCCTGCCAGCAAGTGGTTCTGCATCTCAGAGACTGCTGGGCCCCCCGAGAGCCGCTGGGCCAGCAGGGAAACTTGTTGCCTTTGGGGGAAAAACAGAGATGGAGGTGAGCTGCAGCCAAGGCACCCCATCCATCCCTGCCTGTGCCCCATGGACCTTTGTGCCTCTTACCTGTTCATGCCTGGGGCCACCCCAATGCTGCCCTGAGCCATCACCTTCTTGATGCCCTTCAGTGCCACCATCTTGGCCTTGGCAATGGGGTCCATGATGTCCTCAGCCGCAAACTTGTCCAGGTCTGCCGGGAAATAGGTCACAGCACACTCAGCCCTGTGCCCCCCTCCCAAAACAGCCCCACGCCCCACCAGATCACCACCCACAGGCTCTACCTGTGTCTGGGAAGAAGCTGTTGGCCAACTGCTGCTGCATGACAAGCTGGGGGGGCTTCAGGCCCAGGGTGGGGGGCTGTACCCCAGCCATAGGCTTCTGCACCAGCACCTGCTGCTGGCTCTGCTGCGGCTGCCCCAGGGCCACCTGTACCCCATGGGGGGACGCCAGCACGTGGGGCTGTCCCGAGGCCATGCCCATGTGGGGGGCCAGCGCCGGGCCCTGCTGGGGTGCGCCGAGCCGGGGGGGCTGCGGCGGCATCAGTGGTGGCCGGGCCACCAGCCCCAGCTGGAGGGGGTCTGAGGGGCGCCCAGGCGGGGCGGTTGCCCCTCGGGGGGCTGCCCAGCCGCCCCCGTGTGCAGCACGGGGTGCCCCGGGGCCGGGAGGTGGGGGGTGCCGCGGGGCAGGTGGGCTGACATCTGCTGCTTCTTCTGCAGCTCCTTCTTCTCGTGCTCCAGCAGGTCCTCGATGAGCAGAGGCAGCTCACTGGCCACCAGCGAGCTCTCCATCTTGTCCAGGTCATCCGCTGGCGAGTGCCGGGCACTGCCCAGCCCCAGCGCTCCGCTGTCCAGCTCAAACTTCTCCAGCAAGGGGTTGCTCTGGCTGCCCAGCTGGGCAGGGGCCAGCCCACGGCCGGGGGCAGCGTAGGGGTCCTTGTCCGGCACGGGGACACCGGCGTGGCCGCTGCTGGGGAACTGAGTCAGGCCGAGACGAGCAGGGCCGGCGCTGGGGCTCAGGAGGCTCTGGCTGGGTTTGAGGCTCAGCCCCAGCGAGGCAGAGATCTTGTCGGTGCCCTGCAGCCCCTCTGACTTGACGGGCACCGGGAGCCGCTCGGGGCCGGTGAACTGGCAGGGCGAGGTCTTCAGGCAACCATCCTCCAGCTTGGGCTTCACCTCGGTGGGCAGCGAGCCGGGCTTTGCCTCCGCACCCTGCACCTTGAAAGCTGGGTCAGGGGCCAGCACGGTGCCCATGGGGCAGGCAGAGGGCCCCAAGCTCGCACTGGGCACCAGCCCTTCCTTGGGCACCTCCTGGTTCTCCACAGATGGGGTCACATCTTTGCTGTCCCCAGGGTCGGGGAGCTTCAAGGTGGGTGCTGGTGGCTCCGTCTTAAGCTGGGCCTCACGCTCGGCTTTCTCGTTGGCCGACTCGACCAGGCGCAGGTGCTCGTTGAAGATGTCCTTCTTGTCCCCGGTGTCCAGCTCGGGGTCGGTGTAGGCCAGCAGGTCGAACTCGTCACCGTTCAGCAGGTCGTCGAGGTGGGGGTCTGCTGTCTCCAGGCTGTCCAGGTTGTCCAAGTCATCGTCCCCTTTGGCCACGTCCGGATCCAGGCTCAGGTTGGCCAAATCGTCGTCATCTTCCAAGTCCTTGTGGGAGCCGAAGTCGTCGTCCAAATCGGGCTCCACGGGCACCTCGCAGGGCAGCCGTGCCCCCTCCAGGCTCAGGTGGCTCTTCCCTGGGGCTGGCGCCGGGTCTGGAGCGGGGCCATCCTTGGGACCCTCGGGGCGGAGGGCAGTGCCCGAGGACAGCGGGCGGGGGGGCACGTGCTGCAGCTCCAGGGTGGGGGCTGGCAGTGGCGGGGGGGCCGCCTTGCCGTGAGGCTGCTGGTGGCTGTTGCCCATCTCTGCTCCCTGCGGGGACGCGGGCGGGAGCGGCGCGGAACTTTCTGGGGCGGCAGCGCCTGCATGGGCACGACGGGGGTGCAGAGGGCCTGGGGGGTGCCCTCCTCCCCGGGCAGGAAGAAGCGAGGCCGGGGTGCCTGGGGGGCGAAGGGGGACCCCATGACCCCCCGGTCCCTTCTGCACGTTGTGCCGCAGCTCGATGAAGGGAGCGCCCAGGGTGGTGGACAGCGGGGGCACAGCCTCGGTGGGGGCGGGCAGGCGGGTGCCCAGGCTGCCCATGGGGGTCCCGGTGGCCGGGGGGGCGAAGCGGGAGGTCACAGGGAGCCGCAGGGCTGCCACGGCCGCCTGTTGCTGCTGCTGCTGCCAGAGGTGCTGCTGCTGCTGCTGCTGAGGGGATGGCGCCGGGAAGACCCCACGGGGGTAGAAGGCCTGGGGAGGCCCCACCGTTGCCCTGGAAGACACCGTGATGTTAGCACCAGCTCAGCATTGCCACAGCCTCGATGTACCGAGTCCCACCCCCCTTGGACCACACCCAGCACCCAAAAATGCATAGCCACCCCACAAACTGGGGACATGCATCCCACCAGGGTGATCCCTGCAGACTCCCACCCTGCCGTGCTGACCCCACCACCCTGCCACTGAGCACCCACCGCCCGTTGATGTCCAGCGTGGCTGGAGTGGCCGCCGGTGGGGGCCGGGAGAGCCGCTCGTCCTGGGGAAACGCCGCCTGCACCATGACGGAGCCGGGCAGCTTCCCAGCGCCAGCCGCTGTGGCCAACGTCCCGAGGAGCCCCTTGTCCTGGAGAAAGAACGAGATGGAGTCACTCCTCCATCAGCTGGTTCAGCCCCCTGACCGTGCTGGGGCCCAGCTCTCCCACCTGTGCTGGCTGGTAGGGGGCCATGCCCCGGCTCATCTCGAAGCCCTGCCCGGCGGCCTCGGGGGTCCAGGCGGCGGGTGAGGAGGTGGCGGCAGCAGCTGCACTCTCCTTTTCCTGGCGCAGGCTGTTCCGCTGGATCTGCTGCCGGATGAGCAGCTCCCGGAGCCGCTGGCGCTGGGAGAACCAAGTGTTAGAGCCCAGAGTGAAACCAGCAAGACCTCAGTGGCCATCAATGCCTCCACAGGTCCCATTTTCTCCCTCACATTCCCTCCCAAACCCGGACAGACACAGTGGGATCACCAGCGAGCCCTCACCTGCCGCTGCTTCTCCAGCTCCGACTGGCTCATGGTGCCGAGGGCCCCGTCCTGGCCGCCAGGCAGCTCTGCCAGGTCCCGGTTCGGGGGTGCCGAGAGCCCCACGGCCGCCTCCTCCCTCTTGTCGGCCGTGGGTCCCAGCGTGGCGCGGGGCAGGAAGGTTCCAGAAGGATCCTGCTGCTGAGGCGGGGCCGGGGGCTGCGGCGGCAGCACCGACGGGGGCCGCAGGGGCGAGAGGCTGTAGGTGTCGGGGGCAGCCGTGCCCGGGCCCAGGGGGCTGCCCGCCTGGTGGAAGCCGGGGGATGAGGCGTAGGCCGAGCTCTGGGGCTTCCCAGAGCCATAATGGCTGTTGATCCCATGGGGCTGGTGGGACGGGGAGCCCTTGAGCGGCTCGGAGACGGCCGGGGGGAAGGTGAAGCGCATGGGGGTCTGGCCGCCCGGGAAGACGCTGGCGCCGGGGGAGCGAGCGAAGGGCGGCTGCGGCCCCGCCGGTGCCTTGGCGTGGGGCTCACCCACCGGGGCGCCCCCAAAACCCCCACCAGACTTGAAACCCGGGTCCGGCATCTGCGGCCGGGGGGGCTTGTGCAGGGGGGTGAAGGGGTCCCGGGACTGGGGCCGGGAGGGCGGCTGGGAGTAGGGATCTGGGGACTGGAAGCGGGGGGTGACAGGGGACTGGCAGAAGGCTTCATTGGAGAGCGGGCGGGGGGTGAGGGGGACTGGGAGCTGGACTGGGACTGGGGGCTGGCAGGGACGCGGGAGAAGGGCTCAGAGGGTAGGGAGCGGGGCGGGAGGGCGCAGCAGGCCTCGGGGGGCTGCAGCCGGGGCGTCAGTGGGGGCTGTGAGTAGGGGTCTAGGTAGGGGGACTGGCGGTAGAGATCGGGGTGGCCAGGGGCGAGGGGCCAGGGGTGGGGTCGGGGCCGGTGCCCCAGCCCCGGGCTCTGCGGCTCTACCTGAGAGACCCGTGGGGTCATGGGGGCTTTGAAGACGTCGGCCGCCTTCAGCTCCCCAGCCGAGAGGTGGGGGCCGCCCGGGGAGTCCCCGTAGCCCATGGCAGAAGCGTAGCCGGGCGAGCAGACCTCCAGGCTCCCCCCTTCCTCCTTCTTCACCTCCAGACCCTTCTTCTGCTCCCCGAAAGGCAGGGGAGAGAGCAGGGCCTCGGGGGGCCGCGCCCCGGGGCTCCCCGGCATCGAGAGGTTGTCCAAGGAGGGGCACCGGGGCTTCAGGAAAGGGTCTGGGGTGCCGGGCTGGTGCCGGGGGGTTCCGGGGGCGTGGGGTGGAAGTCTGGGGGCGCGGGGGGCGGTGAGGGGCTGGGACTGGCCAGGGAAGGGCTGGAAGGCAGCGCCCGCCGTGGGGCTCTGGCCCAGGGGCGAGGGGAAGCGGGGCTCCAGCGCGTAGGCGCCGTAGGGGTCGTGCGAAGGCACTTGGGCGGGGGACTGGGGCGGGAGCTTGAGGAAAAGCTCGCTGGGAGACTCCGGCCCCGCTCCGGTGCCCGCCGGGGGCTTCAGGAAGCCCTCTCCGGCGGCGGGGGGGCTGCTGATGTAGACGGGCTGTGCCCCCGGCGGCACCGGGATCCGCAGGTGCAGCGAGGGCCTCTCCGGCTTGCGCAGTCCCTCCCCTTTGGTCTGCTTGTTGATCTGGCTCTCGGCCTGCTGCGGAGAGAGCCGGCCCGTCAGGGCTGTGGGACCCCCTCCTGCCCTCCCTGCGGGCCGGGCACGGGGCTGGGGTGGGCACACCACGTCCCCCCAGGGCTGGGCCGGGGCCGCCGGGCACCTCCCCGCGCCTGACGTACCTTCTGCACCTTGTTGATGCGATGAGCCGCCCGGTTATCTTTGGCCTTTTGCTAACAAAGACACGAAGCCAGCTGACTCGCAGCCCCCGGCGCCCCGGCCCCCCCACCCCGCTGACCCCCCGGCACTCACCAAATACGGGGCTTTGTCCGTGGCAGGGACCTTCCTCCAGAGCTTCATGATCTGCTTGCAGCGGCTCGACCAGTCTGGGAGTCCGGTACGAGCAGATGGAGGGGACAAAAACAACCTTAGCCCGGACCTGACGAGCCCACCCACACCCTGGGTGGGTGACGTTGTCCCCTCTCGTGTGGGGACAGCCCCAAGCCCAGGAGTTGATGAAAAGCCCCATTCCCTGTTGCTGCAGGAAACACTTCAGTGCCAGAGCAGATGGGATCTCCCCTCCAAACAGGGACCAAGGGGGTCATGCTGCACTCAGACCCCCCACCCTCACCCCAACAGGGTGGCTGCAGCTCCCCCAGAGCCCTACCTGGATAATCCTGCTTGAGGTTGGGGAAGTTCATGTTGGCGTAGAGGACGGGGGAGATGGTGGAGAGCTCGCCCAGCTCCTCGTCCTTCTCCCAGCGCTGGAGGCTACGCTGGTTGTAGGACAGGCCATCGCCCTCCCCCTCTGTCGTGGGCGTTGTGGGGGTCGAGGGGGTGGTGGCGGCCGAGCTGCTGGCCCAGGGGCTCTCGGGCTCGCAGTGGTCTGGGCTGAAGAAGCCGCTCCGCTCCCTGCACGGAGGGAACAGTGTCAAGGACCGTCAGGGTGTGAGGGAAGAGGGGACCCCACAACACCCCAGGGTTCGATCCCTCCAAGGAGACCACCCCCAGCTCCACCACATACCTGCTGTCAAGGAACGGGGACTGGCAGACCCCTGAATACGAGTCCAAGGAGACGGATCCAGAGAGCGAGCCCAGGGAAACGCTCCCTGTGAGGGAAAGGAGAGGGTTTGGAGGGAGGGCAGGGCTGGGACTCAAGCCTGTGCCTGCCCCTGGGGGTCCCAGCAGCCCCCAGACAATACAGCATCCCCCAAGACACTTCCCACATTCACCCCCAGAGCAACGGGGAACACCCAGGAGCCCAGGCACTGTGCAGCTCTCTGAGCAGCTCAGCCCCAGCACTTTGGCTTTCTGGGGGGTTGGCAGCGAGTCCTGCTCTTCTCCCCATCGTCCAGGACCCCCCCAGCCCACGGGGACCCTGCCAGTTCCACCCACCCTGCCCCGAGAGCTGGAGGTCTCCCTGCAGGAAGGGGCGCTGTGCCCGGCCGGGGTCCTGCCCGGCCTCCATCCCCCCGGCCACACAGTTGAGGGGCTGCTCCCCCCGCTCCGCCGAGCCCAGCACGTCCTTGAAGAGCTGCTGCACATCTTTGCTCTCCATCTTGGGCAGCTCTGCAGGGGCAAAAGGGAAAAGGTTGAGCCATCCCGGGGTGCAAATCCCACACTGGCGGGAAGTGGAGCAGAAATCTGTGGTTCCTGGCCCTGGGACCGCGCTTGCTTCAGGGGGTGAGGGTGGTCTCACCTTCCGTAGGGATCTTGTCAAGGTCAGAGCTCAGCGCTCCCTCCCCTGGGGTGGCTGGTTTCTCGGCATCCCCAGGGTCTGGGGAATCCTTTGGCTCATCGGCCCCTGCGAGGAGGAATCGGGAGGTGCCCTCAGCCTCTGGGGACCCCAAGCTCAGGGCTGGGGACCCCCGTGTGAACCCACAGACCCCAAAAAGGGACTGGAGTCCCTCGGTCCTCCAAGGACCCCGCGCCACGCGGGGGCGCTCTGGGCGCCACTCTATGGTCACCAGCGCCACGGGAGTCACATGGGGGAACCATAGAGTTCAGCCCTGCCTAGAGCGGATCCCCTCAACCACAGAGTTCCCTTTCGGTGGGTGGGGGGCTCCAGCCACCGTTGGAGGACTCGGCTGTCCAGGGGTCCCGCGGGGGTCCCAGCGGCTCACCCAGGTCCTCGGCCTTTGCATCATCCTTGCCATCGTCATCGGGAGCGGCGGCGCTGCCATCAGTGCTGTCATCCCCTGCAGGGCACCAGGACTCAGAGGGGGGAGCCAGGACCCCCCAAACTCCCCCAGGGTCACTCCTCAATCCCCCCGGGGTCACCCCGAATCCCGGCTGTGGTTTGTGCTCCTGGCCACACTCACCTCGGGGGTGGGTGGGGGTCTCCCTCCTGTCCGGGGGGGCTCCCTGCAGTGCCCCAGCCAGGTTGGGGTCCCCCTTGGGCCTTGGGGCGCTCTGGCCCAGGGAGGGGCGGGCGGCCCCGTCCCCCACCCCGCCCGCTGCCAGCAGCGCCTTCCGGCTCAGGTCCATCAGCGCCTTCCCGAAAAACGCCTCCTGGAACAGGGGGGTTCTGTCAGCATCAGGGGATCCATCCTCACCACCCCCAGGCCACCTCAACTCCCCCCATCCACCCCACCTGCAGGTACGGGGGGAACATGTCCTCCAACTTGCTTTTCTTCCGTCCCCGGCGCTTCTTCTTCTCATCCCCCTCTCCTGAACCTGGATCCAGGCCGGCCTCGGCCGGGACATCGCCCGGAGCCCCTGCAACAGCCCCCCAGGGAATGAACACACGCCCCCCAAAAAGGGACAGGGGCTGTTCCCGGGCCACAGGCACTGTTACAGCATTGTGGGTCTTCCCAGGGGATGAGAGAAAGGGAAAAGAGGGAGAAAAGGGAAAGAGAAGAAGGAAGAAGGGAGAGGGGAGAGAGGCAAGGGTTGAAAAGAGAAAGAAAGGGGCTGAAAAGGGAAGGGAAGAGGAAGAAGGGAAAAGGACAGAAAGGGAAAAGAAGGAAGGGGTGCCAGCAGGCCCTACCGTCCTCGGGGTGCCCCTCAGCGCTCAGCCCCTCACGCCCCACGTCCGCCAGCACCGCCGGCACCTTCTTGAGCCGCGTGTGGGACTTGCGCTGCCGCACCATGAACCCACCGATGCCTGGGGAGCAGAGAGGGGGTCGCAGTGTGCCCAGGGCGGGTCACAGCAGGGTCTGAGGGGGGGGTCAGGGCTTGGGGGGCACTCACCGGGCCGGTACGGCTTGCGCTTCCTCTTCTTGCACTCCTCAGGGTCCTCCAGCCCCTTCCCCGAGTCCCCGTCGGCGCCGACGTCGCGGTCGGGGGTGGCCGGAGCCTCCAGCTTGATCTCGCACTCCATGTGCTCCACACCCACTGCCACGGGGCAGGGACACTTCAGCGGGGTCCCCTGGCACCCCCACACCGCACCCTCCCGGCTCTCCCTCCAGGAACACTCACCCTCGGCCTTGAGCAGCTCATCGGTGTCCAGGTCTCCGTCCTTCTTGTCCTCGGGGCCCAGGGGGTCGCCCCCCTCGAGCCCCCCATCCCCGTTGAGGGCGCCGGGGCGGCCCTTGCGCTGCCGCCGCTTGTGCAGGGGCGACAGGGTCAGGTTGCGCAGCACGGCCATGCCTGTCTCCGTCAGCCACACGCCCTCGAAGCGGAAATACTGGGGCTCTGGGGGGACAAGCAGCACGTTGGGGACAAATGCCAGGGCCGGGTGCACAGCCAGAAGCAGGCACAGCACTGGCACTTTGATGGCACTGCACATACCCGGATCCTTGGCCTTGACCATCTCTGCGGGAGGCACGGGCGCTGTGCAGGAAAGCAGACGGGCAGGTGAGCCCCCACGTCCCACACACGTCCCCCAAACCCCTCTCTGGGTTCCCCGCACCCCGTGAGCTCACCAGGTTTGATCACATAGGGCTGGCAGGCGCTGCAGTCGAAGCCTTCATCCGCAGCCTGCTCCACCTCCTCCTCGGTGAAGAGGCTGTCGCACGCCGCGTGCAGCCACCTGCGGGCAGGGGGACCTGTCACACACCACGGCCACCCCCGGGGACACCAACTTTTACAGCATCACAGAATATGCTGAGTTGGAAGCGACCCACAAAGACCATCCACCAGTCCAACCCTCAGCCCTGCACAGGACACCACAAAATCCCACCCTGCGCCTGAGAATGCCATTCCAACGCTCCTTGAGCTCTGGCAGCCTTGGTGCTGCAACCACTGCCCTGGGGAGCCTGTTCAGTGCCCAGCCAGCCTCTGGGGGAAGGACCTTTTCCAGAGATCCAACCTAAACCTCCCCTGACACAACTTCAGGCCTTTCCCTCGGGTTCTGTCACCACTGAGATCAGACCACGATGAGTCTCCCCTCAGCCTCCTCTCCTCCAGGCCGAGCGGACCCAGCGCCCTCAGCGTCGCTCACCGATCGCAGTGCCGGCACTGGATGAGCAGGTCGTCCTCCACGTACTTCTCGCGACAGAAGGGGCACACGACGAGGCTGGCACAGGGCGCGCAGTGGGTGTAGTTGTTCTGCCACTCGCAGTGGAACCCGGGGGACGCGGCCCCGCACTGCACACAGCACACACACCTGGGCAGGGAGAGGCATCTGAGGGGTCAGTACCAGCTCACAGACCCCCTCAGGGTTCCCTCCGTGCCCCCCGCAACGCACCACTTGCACTTCCAGCCGCCCTTGGGCACGGTCTGCAGCGGGGGGTCCAGGCAGTACGTGTGGTAGCTGATGTCGCAGTCGTCGCAGAGCAGCAGGCGCGAGGGGTCCGAGGCTTTGCCGCACACCTCGCACACGATGCACTCCACGCAGCGCCAGCCCTTCAGCAGCATCACCTTGGTGATCTGGGGACGTGAGGGGTGGCGGCCATGTGAGCCCTGGGCATGGCCATGGGGGTCCCCAGGCTCGGCGTGGCCACAGAGGACACCGGAGTGGCTCGGCACGGCTGGGGGACACGCCAGAGCACCACGCAACACAGGGACACACAGGGCACAACCTCATACGTGTGTCCCATGGGCCAGTCCCTGAGGGGCACAGCACAGTGCTGTGGGGTCCCAGGCCCCCTCCTCACCTTGCTGTTGACACAGTAGGGGTGGTAGCACTGGGAGCACTGGGAGCAGGCGAGGAGGTGCCCCTCGGCCCCACGCCCAAAGCTGCCACACACCACGCACATGTCCTGGGGGAGAGGTCGGGAGTGAGGGGACAGCAGTTGCCAGCAGAAGGGACACAGAGTCTGTCCCACCCTGTCTGTCTGTCTGTCCTGCTGTGCCCCAGTTACCTGCATGAGCACAAACTTGTCGGTGTTGGAGAAGAGGACGACTGTGTTCTGCATGGTGTCGTCATCGTCCTCGTCCTCCTCCTTGCTGGGCGAGCTCTCCACATCGGCGAGCTGGGGACAGAGTGGGGGGCTCAGCACCAAGGACCCTCTCTCTGTGCAGTTTAGGGGACACCAGCCAGTCTAGTGCTAGACTGGAGGATCCAGGAACATGCAGGGGCAGCAGAGCCCGTCCCCAAGGGGAAGCTCCATGCCTGCCCTGGTCTTGTGGGGTGAAGCCCCCAGACTCAGCAAAATCACAGGCAGTCACACCTCCCATAAGGCCCCCCACCCACCCCACCTCAAGGGCTCCCAAATCTTTCTGAGGGACTGGGATGGTTGGGAAGGAGACGGGGAAGACTCTTGGCCCTCACCCCTACCACCCAACACCTCAGGAACACCCTGGCCCCCCACCCCTGCCCCAGCCCAGCCTTACTGCTAAAGTGTCAACGGACGAGGTGGTCGACTTCAGGCGCGCACGGCCCCGGCCCCGGCCCCCGTGGGACCCACCTCGAGGGCGCCTCCGCCCAGGGAAGCTGCTGCTGCGACCCTACAGCCCAGGGGAGAAGGGGGTTACGACTCCAGGGAACCTGGCCAGACCCCCAGGCAGTGGAGGGGCACAGCCCCCATCCCACCCCACTGGGCCCAGCCCTCGCCTGCTCGCCAGCCCGGGGAGGGGGTCCGGCCTCGGCAGGGCCCTGAGAGTGCGGGGATCCCAATGAAACCACAGCAGGAGGGGCACCCCTGTACCTGCTTGACCCGGGAGCGCCCCGGGGAGCTGCGGCGCCGGCCCTTGTCCCCGTCGCCCTTGGCTGCCGGCTCGAACAGCAGCGAGTCGTCGGTCTCAGCGCCCAAGGGCAGCGAACCCCCGTCCTCCTTCTGCAGGCTGGCGTCGGCCGAGGCCGGGCCCAGCTCGGGGGACAGCGACCCCCCGCCCTCGGGGTCCGGGGAGCCCAGCAGCGGCTCCGAGCCGGGAAAGCTGCTGCTCGTGTCCCCCTGGCTCAGGTTGGAGATCTCGTTGAGGATGTCGGGCCGCGGGCGCAGGGCGGGGGGCTCGGGGCACCCCTCGTCCCCGCGCCCCAGCAGCTTCTCGCCGCCAGTGCACACCTCCATGGGGGTCTCGGGGCCCAGCTCCTCCGTCTCCAGGAGCAGGGGGACCCCTTGGCTTCGGGGTCCCCCCCGGCCCGGCCTTCCTCCACCGCATCCTCCTCGCTCAGCGGTGGGGAGCTGCCGCTGGTGCCCTCCCGCTCCAGCCTCGGTGCCTCTTCCTCCTCCTCTTCCTCCTCCTCGGGCAGGCCTGGGAAGGGCCCCAGCTCTGGGGCTGGGCTGCCAGGGGGGCATCTCCAGGGGGGCTGGTTGGGGACTCCCCCTCACCACCGGCCGTCTCCATCTCCTCATCCTCGGGGGGCTCGGCGGGGGTCAGGGTGACGACAGGGGAGCCCAGGGGGGGTGGTGGGGAGCCGGGGGGCTCGGTGTCCATGGCAGTGCCAGGGCTGCCAGGGGGCTCGGGCAGGGCTGGGGTGGGAGGCTCGGGCACCTCGTCCTCCTTGGCGTCCGGGGAGGGGGCTGGGGGGCGCGCAGGAGAGATGGCGCGGAGAGCTGCGGGTGGAGAGGGGGGACGGTGACATCACAGCCCCCCTCCCACGAGACAACCACTCCCCCTCCCCCAACCCCAGTGTGTCCCCAAACCGACCTGGGGGAGCTGAGGGCGGAGGGGTCATCTCGGGGGGCAGCAAGGGCTCCGGCTCCAGCTCCATCTCCATCTCCTCCTCGGGGGGCACCTCCGGAGCCAGGGCTGGTGCTTCCTCTGCCACTGCCACCTCAGGAAGGAGACCTGTGGGATGGGAACATGGGTGAGAGGGTGACAGGGGTCCCCTCCACCCCCTCTGCCACCCAGTCTGGGGTCAAGCAGCAACAAGACCCCCTCCTAACCCCCCATGTACCCCAAAATAGGACACTGACACCTGAAATGAGGGTCGGGCAAAGCCAGTGCTGCTGAGAAGCCCCCACTGTGAGACCCCCACACCCACAGGACAAGTAGGGAGAGGAGACAGAGTAAAAGGTCCCCAAATTACCTGGTGGCTTCAGGTCCTCCTCGGAGGGCAGCTCACTGGGGAGTGGCTCTTCAGGGGGAAGCTCATCAGGGGGAGGCTCTTCGGGGCTCAGTTTGTCGGGGGGAGGCTCTTCAGGGGGCAGCACTTCGGGAAGAGGTTCCTCGGGGGGCAGCTCATCAGGGGTTGATTCATTGGGGGGCAGCTCGTCAGGAGGTGGTTCATTGGGGGGCAGCTCCTCAGGGGGCAGCTCTTCAAGGGGCAGCTCGTTGGGGGGAGATTTGGGGGGTGACTCATTGGGGGGCAGCTCGTCAGGGGATGATTCGTTGATGGGCAGCTCCTCAGGGGGCAGCTCTTCAGGGGGCAGCTCCTCAGGAGGCAGCTCGTGGGGGGGCGACTTCTCGAGGGGTGGGTCCTCAGGGGGCAGCTCGCTGAGGGGAGGGATGTCGAGGGGCAGCTCATCAGGGGGTCGTTCACTGGGGAGCACCTCCTCGAGGGGGGGCCTGTCAGGGGGCAGCTCAGCAAGGGATGGTCTCTCGAGGGGCAGTTCCTCCAGGGGGTTCTCCGAGGGGGGCAACACGAGAGGAGGGGGCTCCTCAGAGGGCTGCACGTCAGGGGGCTGAATGCTGGGGGGCTGCACGTCGGGAGGCTGAATGTCGGAGGACTGCATGTCAGAAGGTTGAATGTCGGGGGGCTGAATGTCAGGGGGCATTTCCTCAAGGGGTTGTTCACTACAGGGCACCTCCACAGGGGTCAGCTCGCCAGGAGGAGACCCGCTGTCACCCAGGGGGGCCTCCTCCCTGGGGTCCAGAAGTGCGTCCTTCAGTTCTGAGGGTGCCTCCCTGTGGTCCAGGGGTGCCTCCTTGAGGTCTGGGAGGGGCTGTATCTCCTCATCACCCCCCACAGGCTCCAGCTCAGGTGGGGGGACGGGCACATCCTTCGGCTCGCTGCAGCTGGGAGGCTCCAACCTGGGCGGGGGAGCAGGTGAGGGGAGTGGGGATCAGGCCACCTTGTCCCCGACGCTGCAGGAGATGTCCCCTCACCCACAAAGGGCCTAAAACCCCCCCATAACCAGCCCCCCCATCCCCACTCACGTCTGGGCAGGCGGGTCAGGCTGTGGTGAGCATCCTGGTGCCACGGGGGCATCGGCTGCAGTGCAGCCCCCACACACCACGGACCCCTGGCAGCCAGGGTTGAGCCCCACAGGGCACCGGCCACACTTGGAGCAGACCCGGCAGTTCTGGTGGGGGGAACAGAAGTGTGTCAGGGGCAGCAAGGAAGGAGGACAGGCACCCCATTACCCCCCCGAGTGAGAGCAGCACACACCTTGCACTTCCAGGAGCCGGCAGGGAGGCCCTGGCTGGCTGGATCCACGCAGAAGGTGTGGTAGCCCTTGCCACAGGCCTCGCAGACCAGCATGGTGGAGTCCTGGCCGGGCTGCCTGTGGGGGACACGGGTACATGACGGCAGGGACCCCTCCTTGGGTGTGTCCCCCCCTCCCGCCATAGCAGGGCTGGGGGCTCACCTGCAGGTTTGGCACGCTCTGCACTCAGGGCACTGCCAGCCCAAGCACCCGCGGGGCGTCGGGGCCGTGTCCAGGCAGGCGCCGTGGAAGTGCTGCCCACAGCCCGTGCACAGCAGCAGGTCCCGCAGGTCGCCCGGCCCGGCGCACACGCGGCACTGCGCGTCCTCTGGGGGGGGACACAGGGGGTCAGGGCCACCTCCTCGCGGGGTCCCACCCTCCTGCGACCCCGCAGGGGGATTCGAGGAGCCCAGCACCCAGGGGGGTGTCCCCAGCCCGCACGCACCCATCTGCAGGGCCTCGGCCACGTGCTCGGGGCAGAGCAGCCGCAGGGTCTTCGTGGACTGGAAGCAGCCGCTGGCGGTGGCGCAGGGGAAGTGGTAGAGGCGGGAGCAGCCGGCGGCCGCCCGGCACGGGATGGTGGCCCCCACCCGCCCGCAGCGTTCACATTTCTGAGGGTACAGGAGCCCGGGGGGGTCAGTGCTGCTGCACAGCCGAGCCCCCACAGCTCCCCCCAGATCCAACCACTCACCTGTGAGATCCCTGAGAAAACAGCTCTGGCCACAGCGGCCGCCTCCGGCCCCGCGCCGGCCGCCCAGGCCGCACAGCAGCGGTGCACCCAGCAGTGCCCTGTGGGGAGGGGGCGTCAGGGACAGCCTGGGGACACCTGCAGTGCTGGGATGGGGACCCCGGTGCCGTGACCCCGCTCACCTGTCGGCTCGAAGAGCTGCGCCGGGGTCACCCCCTCGGAGAAGCCGATCTGTGCCAGGTCATCGCCCGTCAGCTCTGGCTCCGTGGAGGGTTGGCTGGACCCCGGGGGGGGCTGGCCAGGCCCCTCGGGGGGGTTGCTGCCCACGGGCCAGTCGGGCACCGGCTCGAAGCGCTGCAGCTCCCACTGCCCGTGCGGGCTCCAGTCCCCACAGTTGCAGAGGGCGCAGCGGCGGCCTGGCAGGCTGGGAGGGGGAAACGTGGGGTGTCAGGGATGTTTGGGACACACCCCCCCCACCACCAGCTCCATGCCATCCCCAAGCCTCCCCATCCTCACCTGCCAGTCTCGGGAGGTCCCTTCGTGTCCGTGCTCTCCGGCTCCGGCCCCGCGGAGGCTCCTTCGGGAGGTTTCAGGGGGTCCCCCTCTGCGCTGCCCATCTCCTCTGAGGCCACGGCCCCATCAGCTGTGGGGAGAGGGGGTGTCACCACCACGGGGGCACAGGGACAGGGACAGTCCCCCCCAGATCTGTCCCTGTGCTCACCTGGCGCGGCCGCGTCCTTCTCCTCGCTGGGCGCCTTCTGTTCGTCCATCCTGCCTCCGGCGTCCCTGGGGGGGCCGCGGCTGTAGGGGGGCAATCTGTCAGCACAGGGACACTGGGACCTTCCCCAGTCCCACCACAGCCTCCCGTGACCGCCCACCCAAGGGATAGGGCAGCCCCCTCCCTTCACTGCTCCCAAGGCAAGTTCACGGGGTCCCAAGCTGGGAGTGTTCTCTGGGAGCGGATCCTGTCTCCCTGGGGTCCCAGGAGACCCCCCCTGCCACAGGGGTCCTCCCTGTCCCCCCATCACACCATGGCCTTCCAGGTGCCCCCGGGTCTGGGTGGGGACAGTACAGTGACACCCCAGCACATCTGGGGCAGCCAAACCCCCAGAGTGACCTCGATTCAACCCCTCGGGGGGGGCAGGTCGGTGACCTCGGCTCCACTGAGCACCGGGACTCCGAGGACCCCCAAGACCCTCCCAGGAGCACCCACAGCGCTCATAATGAAGGTGTGACCCCCCAGTGCCTCCCACGTGGGGGACTTGGGAGAGGATCTGAGGTGCAGCACAAAGCAGGGTCCCCTCCATTGGCACCTGCCCAGGGTTCAGTTTCCCCAGGCCCAGCACCGACCTTGCACAGCACCAGGGGGTCCTGGGATGACTCTGGGAAGGGAGGGGAGAGTCCACCCCAAAACACGACACTTAAAAACCGAAGGGGGGCCATGCCCTGATCTGCAGCCACCCCCTCCCACCACCACTTCACGTACACCCCAGAAGGGCCCCAGCCGGCTGCGGGGGGTGGGGGGCAAAAAGGGGACCCCAAACCCGACCACGAACCACACAGGGGGAGGGCAGAAGATCCGGGGGGGTCCCGCGGGCACAGGGGAACCTCAACGCAGAGCCCGGGGCAGCAGGGAGGGGAGGAACGCACCGGGGCAGCTCCGGTACCGCAAAACCCGGTGACGGCCCGGGGGGGGACAGAGGGAGATCCCGGCCACGGGGTGGGGGCCAACCCACCCAGCAAACCCCCCGCTCCGGTTCCCGGTGGTCCCGAGGGGATTCGAGCCCCCCCCCGGAAAGGCCCTGGGCCCGTGGGGGGGGGACGATCGGCCCGCGGCCCCGGGGGTCCGAACCACCACGCGGGGAAACCCCCCCAACCCTTCCCGGCGCCCTCGGGCCGCGCTCTCCCCGCTCCCCGGTGCGACCGGGAGGGTCGGGCCGCCCAGGCCCGCAGCCCCGGCCCCGCCGCGGCCTACGCGGGCACCGGGCCCCGCGCGCCGGGCCCGGCCCTACCCGCGCCTCGGCCGCCCGGGCCCCGCCGGTACCGGGCACAAAGGCGGCTGGAGGGAGGAGGCCGCGGTCTCCGCGCCGGGCCCCGACCAGGCCTTACCGGGCAGCGGCGGAGGCGGCGCGGCCCGAGCCCCGCTCGGCCGCGGGGGCCGCTCCTTCCGGGGCCGCCGGGGCCCGTCCCGCCCGCGCGGGCCCCGCGGCGGGGCCGCCCCCGCCCCCCGCCCGGTGCTCACCCCCGCGGCCGCCCTACGCCGACGGGCCTCGGGGCGCGGGGCGTTCGGTGCTCCCGGCGCGGCCATTTCCAGAGGAAAGTAGGTCCTGCCGCCCGCCCTCGCCCTGCCCCGCCCGCCCTGCCGGGGCCGCCGCCGCGCTGGGTCCTTTGGGGAGGGGGTGAGGGGGGAACCGCCGCGGACCGGGGCGGGGTGGGCGCCGCCGCGGCTCCCGCACTACTTTGGGCGGCGGGGGCTTGCGGGCGGAGGGAGACGGTGCGCGGCGGCGGGCGCTGCGGCCGCGGGGAGCGGGGGTGTGACGGCGCGCGCGCGGGCGCAGCGCACGCTGCCGGGCGGGGGGGGCGGGGGGAGATCCCTCCGCCGCGCTTTAACCCCGGCGGCGCCGGCGGCGCACGTGGGCACCGGGGGGCGGGGCCAAGGCGGGCGGGCCACGCCCCCTCCTCCTCCCGGCACCGGGGCCGCGAGGGCGGACGGAGAAGAGGACTGCGGGACCGGGACCGGGCAGTCACGGTCATGCACACCGTGACCCTATGGACCCCAAACCCTGGGCAGGACTCAGGCCGGTGCCCCCCATGCAAGGGCACATCAGCCCCCTCGGTCAGAGCCAGCGACCCTCACCCTGGGACGCCCGGTGGGGTCGTGCGAGCCCCGGAGGGACCCCCTCCCCGGGAGCCCAAACTCCAAGGCCCAGAGATCTGGGGGGGGCTACTCAGGGGGTGCAGCCCCCCAGTAGCCCCCAGGCTGCACCCCCCCCAGCCCCAACACCTCAACATTGTCTGTAGGGGCAGAGAGAATCCCCCCTGCACCCCAACACCCCACTCCCCACCAGCTCCTGCTCCTACCACCATAATTGGGTAATTAGCAGTAATTAGCCCAACTGGGTGGAGATAAGCCACACGGGGGAACCGCAGCCAGGCCCCCCCACACTCACCCAGCCCCAGCTGCAGATCTCAGGGTAGAGAAATGGGGGGAAAAGGAGCTGCAGAGCCCCCCAGGGTCCCTGTGATGGCTCCTGGGTGCTCAGGCCCATGGTGGGGGGCTCAGCCCCACAGCACATACAGGGTTGGAAGGGACCCCAACACTGGGGTGTTGGGGGGAGCCCCACACACTGTCTAAGCGCCCTCCCAGCCAGGAACAGCCCCCTCAGTCCAGGGGTTCGCAGGCAAAACAAGGTTTAATTGTTCCAGCCCCGACTCCCACGGGTGCGGCACAGCCGGGAACAACTCCCGCATTGAGCCCCAGCTCCCGGGGCAGGAGCAGCCCCACCGTGTCCCTGTGCGTGTGGGGGCATAGCAGTGACAGCCCGGGGGGCTCCTGGCTGGGACAGGAACCCCCCCCAGCCTGGGCAGTGTGAGGGGTCCCAAACCGCAGTGGGACCGTGTGGCCCCCCCAAAGCCGCTGCCGTGGTCTGGGAGAAGGTCCTGGGGGGTCCTGCCCCATTCTGGGGGGTCACATGAGCAGCCAGTGGATCTGCCGTAGGAATCGTCCACCCGGTCGATCTCATTGATGATCTTCGGGAAGATCCCCTGGGTCACCTGGGGATGAGGGAACATCAGCCACAGCCACAGGGGGGTCCACCCACCCCACCTGGCTCTCCTTGGCCGAGGACTCAAGGAAAAAGGCCCCCCACGGCTCCGCCAACTTCTTCCCTTCGTCCATCCCCACTTCCCGGCTTCAGACGCGGCAGAGGACGGGCAGGACGGGGGACACGGGACCCCCAGAGCTCCCTCACCTCTGCAGGGCCACGTCTGCCTTGTTCCCCACCAGCACCACGGGCACGGGGAGGGTGAGGCCTCCCATCCCCTCGAGGGACAGCACCTACCGAGTGTTCCCCCAGCTCTTGAACAGCCTGTTGGGGAGGGTCTTCACCACCTGGAAGCTGTGGGGATGGCACAGGGTTAGGGGGGCTGCCTGGGACCCCCACAGGGTTCAGACCCACTTCTATCCCATTCCAGGGGTGTCTCAGCCCCCCAGCACAAGGTTTGGGTGCACAAATCCCCCCAGAAGTGGGGACACGTCTGTCCTCACCACCCACGGCCCCACAGGGGCAGCAGAAGGGGGACCCCGGGCAGGCAGCCCCCCCCTGCACCCCCTCAAGCATGGGACTTACTGCTCTCCACCGTGGGCTCGTAGCACTCCACGAACTGGTGGGCCAGGGAGGTTTTATCTGGGGTGGGAGAAACAACAGGGTTGGAGGGTCCCGGCATTACCGCGGGGCAGGGGACGGAGTCCCCTAGAGGGGGGCTCTAGGGCACACGAGGTGACGGAGGGTCTCGGGGGGGAAAGTGGGGGTGTCCAGGCTGAGCACGGCCCCAGAGCCCCCACTTAGTGCTGAGGAGGGGGGGGGACCCCTTGGTGCCGGGCCCCCCGCGTGCGCGCTAAGTCCCAGCGGGGTCAGCGGCGCTCCCGAAGAGCAGGACCCACCATGCCGAGCCCTCCGCACTGACCCACGGGGCGGGAGCCGGGGACGAACACGCTGCTGTGCCGGAGAGGCGGGCGGGCAGGGTGGACCCGCGGAGCCTGAAGGCGGAGCGGGCGGGCGCCGCAAACGCCGCAATAAAAACCGCCCGCCCGCGCCGGGAGTGGCCGCACGGGACCACAACACGGCCCCGCCCCGCCGCTCCCATTGGCCGAGCCGCGGCGGAGGGGGCGGGGTCAGGCGGGGGCGCAGGCGCGGTGGCTGCCGTGGCTCCATTCATGAAAACGGAGGGAACGGCGGCGGCCACGTGGTGACCGCGCGCCCGATCGGGGGGGCGAGGGGGACAGTTCGTGACCCCTCCTGTCCCCCCCCAACCTGCTCCGGCCCGGGGACCCCCGGAGTGCCCACATCCACATCCTGATCCCTGAGATCCCCATCGCGGCCTCCCCCAGCCCCAGGACCCTCAGTGCCCTAGGGGTACTCCATCCCCTCTGGATGCCCAACCCCAGGGACCCCCAGCCCCTCAAGATGCCCAACTCCAGCCCTAGGGACCCCCCAGCCCCCTGGCACAGTCACCTGAACCCACGTTTGTGCATCCACAGCTCCACAGGGCCCGTAGAGTCTCTTTATTTCCCCGAACAATTAAATAGCAGTATTTCTTTTGGTTTTTAAACACAAGTGGTTAAAAGCAGGCTTCCCCCCTGCCCCCCAGGGTGAGCCCCACTGCCGGAGCAGGCGGGCGAGGGGGACATTTATATTACCATTTATAAATAGAAAAATAAAACTCTCAAGCAGGGCGGGTTAGCAGTTAGCACAGTTAGAACCAGGCCTGGCACGGGGTCCCTGTGCCCACAGCAGACACCCAGCCCAGCCACCCTGGGGACGCTGTGGGTGCCAGGGACAGACCCAGAGCTGGGGGACAGGCAGGAACTGCTGCCAAGTGCTCAGTGTTGAGCTATTGTGGCACCCCACCGGCTGGATTCAGCCCCAGGACAGGGTCTGGTGGTGCCCAACAGACACTAGCGCAGTGGTTAATAAAGCAATAAATACCAGGGGAGCACACGGGGGTCTGGGGCACAGGGACCTGGCTGGGTGGGGGTCCAGGACACGGGACAGGGCTGAACCAGGCCCCTGTGCCACTCTGTGACACCCCACCCCGGGGCAGCGCTGAGCCCAGAGACCCCCAACCTCCCCACTCAGCTGGGGGTGCCCCCTGCCCCTCCTCCCTGAGCCTCAGGGGTGCCCAGGGCCGGAGCCCCTCGCTTCCAGCGCGCGGCATCACCCGCCGTGCGGTGACCCGGGCGGAACGGGACCCCCTAGAGCTGCAGGGCCTCGTGGCCCAGCACGGCCCCGGCCAGCCGGTAGAGCAGGCGGGAGTACCAGTGCATGCCCACCTCGGGCACCGTCCCGTTGGCCGGCGGGGCGCGGGCGGGCAGCAGCGCCAGCAGCCCGTGGAAGAGGCGCAGCGGGGCGAAGGCGCGGTGGGCCCAGCGGTGGCTCTCCAGGACGGCGTAGCAGGACGCCAGCACCCCGTTGACCAGCAGGGTCCCGTGGGAGGTGAGCGGGGCGAAGACGCCCACGCCGTCCTCCCGCCAGACCCTCAGCACCCGCGCGGGCCGCAGCCCCCGCCCGCCGGCCCCGCGGGCCAGCACGGCGTCGCCGGGGCGCACGCGGCGGGCGAAGACGGGCAGGAAGGCGGCGGCGGAGCCGTTGGCGGCCCCGCGGGCGGCGAACACCAGGTGGGACGGGGTGAGGAGCAGGCGGCGCGCCGGGCCGGCCGTCTCGATGGCCACGAAGGAGGCACGCCGGCCCGGGTCCCGGTCGAGGAAGAGCAGCACCTCGGTGGGCACCAGGCGCCCACCCGGCTCGGCACCCAGCACCCAGTCGCCCCGGCGCAGCTCGGCCAGGCCCCGGCGCTCGCCGCTCTGCAGCGTCACGGTGGCGTGGCCGGGGAAGCAGCCGCCGGTGCGGATGGCCAGCGAGTTGTCTGCGAGGACGGAGAAAGGCATGGGTGTCCCCTGCCGACCACCTCTACTGGGCCACCACCTCCAGAGGGGAAACGGCCACCCCCGGGCCCCCGAAGCAGCCCCGGAACAAAGCTGGTATTTTCCGAAGACCCCCCCACCCCGGTTCCTGCGTGCGGCTCCTGGGCCCTGCAGGGCCCCTTTGTCCGCCCCCGCACTGATGCCCTTTGTTCGGGGCTGGCACGGTGACATTTATGGCCACTTTCACTTTCTGTCGATTGTCACTTCTGGAGCGGATGGGAACTACTGGGGGCTGTGGGGCGTGTGGGGCTGGGGGCTGCATTGCTATTCCCCTCATTGGGAGCTAAACCACTAGGGTGGCTCCATCCATCCAAAACTCAGAGGGGAAAGTGTGGGGTTGGCCAGTCTGGTGGCCAGAAAGGCCGGGGTGAGCTGGGCCGTGGCCGGACACTGGCTGAACCCTCTGGGGACAGACACCAACTGGAGCAAGGCTGCATCACACATGGATCCAGGATGCCAAGAGGGGGCAGAGGGGGCTGGGATGCTTATGCAGATGGCAGCCCCCCGACCCTGTGGCAGCCCCTTCCGTGTGGTACCTGCTTTGACAGAGACGTGGATGTGTGCCTTGGACTCGTAGTAGACCCAGTCGAAGCCGGCCTCCACGGCCAGGCGGGCCAGCATGCCGTACTTGTGGCGGTCCCGATCAGACGTGGTGATGTCCAGTGCCCGGCCCTCGTAGTGCAGCGAGTCAGGGAGGTGGTGCCCGTCCTCGTCCCAGCCCTCCGTCACCCGCAGCTTCACCCCCGGCCACATGTTCATCACTGCGATGGCCAGAGAGTTCACCCGCTCCTTGCAGCGCTGGGAGGGGGAAACACCAGCACTGGTGTCACCCCCAACACTTCCACAGCACCCAGCACCCCCTCACAGAGAGACCCCACATGGACAGACAGACACCAGGCCTTGGAGGGAGCCCAAAGGGGCCACTGGTGGGGCAGATGGGCTGTTCTCACCCCCGGGGCATAGAGAGGGTCACGGCCAAGCTGCCCCCCCGACTTGGGCGCAGGTTGAACGTTAACGTGCCCTGGGGTCCTGTGGTGGAGCTGCTCCACAGGCAGCCGGGCAGAACGGGCAGGGGACCGGGACGGGGACCAGGACAGTGTCACCTTCCCCGCGGCCACAGCCGTGACTGATTAACCCGGTGGGGGGGCTGTGGGGCAGAGCTGGGAGTGCAGCTGACCCTGAACCAGACCCGAGTCCGGCCTGAGGGGGACGGGGGGGTCCCGGTGGCTCCGGGATCCCTCTGCCCATCAGCAGCGACAGCACCGACATGGCGTGCAGCGGTCGGAGCTGCCCCCAGTGCCCCCCCGCGGTCGGTGAGGTCACAGCGTCCCTCGGTGCCACGGTGCCCCCCCTCTCCCCTGTCCCACAAAGCGGCTCCCGGGAGAGCGGGGCCGCGGGGGCGGGAGCGCGGGGCGCGGGCCCGGGGCGGCCGGGCCCGGGGGGCGGCAGCGGCGGGGGGGCAGGAATGCGCCCGGCCCGGCCCGGCCCGGCCCGGCCACAATAGGCGCCTTCCAGCCCGGCGCTGACCTCAGGCCCCGGGAATGCCGCCGCGGCCACAAAGGGTCCTTTCAGCCGCCCGCACCCCGGGCCGGCTCCGCGCCCGCGGCTCCGCCGGGCCCCGCCGTCCCGGCCCCGCCGCCTTCGCCGCCCCGGCTCGCGGGAGCTGCCGGCGCCGCGTGGACCACTCGCAGCATCCCCCGTCGCCATGGCGACCGCGGAGCCGCCCCTCGCCATGGCAACCGTGAGCATCCCGACGGGGCGCGGCGCGTCCCGGGCTCCCGGCGTCCCGGAGCTGCCCCGTTAATCCCCGACGGTCCTGAATGCCCAACGCGGCGGGACCGCCCCGTCCCGGGGACCCGGTGCTGCCACGCCGCTGCCAAGGGCCGGGGAAGGGAGCAGGGGACCGAGGCGAGGCAGTGGGCGGCCCCGGGGGGACCCTGTGCCCCGGGAGGCTCCGTGCGCCCAGGAAGGGTCGGTGCCACACGGGAGGCTCTGCGAGCCCTGGGATGGTCAGTGCGCCCCGGGGAGGGTCGTTGCCGGCTGGGGACGGTCCGTGCGCCCCTGCGAAGGTCGCTGTGCTCCCGCCCGCTCCCCCCGCCGCCCCCGCACCCCCGGGAGTGAGGCCGGGCCGGGCGCAGCCCCCACCTCGGTCATGAGCCGATCCGCCCCGTGTTCTCCTCGTCCTTGAAGATGATGTCGGGGTTGTAGTTGGGCACCAGGTCCCTGAAGCGCTCCGAGCCCCGCAGCACTTTGCCCTCCGCCTTCCCGCTCGCCCCCAGCGTCTGCTCGGGCACGTTGGGCACGAACTGCTTGTAGAGCAGCGGCGAGAGCTGCCGCCGCCCCAGCCGCCGCCGCCCCACCGGGCCCCGGCCCGGGCCGCAGCCCAGCACCGGCGCGGCCAGCAGGCAGGCGGCGAGCCCGAGCAGGACGAGGGCGAGCGGCCTCCACCGGGGCATCCCGCCCGCCGGGCCCTGCTGCCTCCGCGGGCCCCGCTCAGTCGCCGGGGGCACGGGCGGCCGGGGCGGGCATGGTCCCGGTGTGGCGGCCCCGGGGCTTTTAGAGGGTCGCGGTGCCAGGGCGGGTCGGCGCCGCTTCCTTCACACCCACGGTCCCGTCGTGGCTGTGGGATCCGCGGCCACCCGGGACGACTGACACCCCCCCGCACCCTCCCGCCGGTACCGCCACCCACTCGGGGCGCAGCGCCCGGGCACCGGGATAGCACCCCGCCACCGATTCCGTGCCCACGGGCCCAGCACCCCGCCTGCACCTCGGTCCCGGGGTGTCCCCGACACAACCCGAGCCGCGGGGGAAACCCTCGTACCGGGCACCGGCGCCGGACACCAACACTTCCTCCGGCCACTGCCCGGGACTGGCACCGGGCACCTGGCTCCTGGTGATGCCCCGGGACCGTCACTGGGACCTGACCTCGCTCCCCGATCCCACTCCCTTCCCGTCTGAATCCCACG